CCATCGCTCTCAGCCTCCTGCTCAAGCGCATCAGTCGCTGCTGCCCTTGGAGAGAAGGCGCTGCCCCTCCTCGCTGCCTTGTTCCCTTGCACCCGTGTCCAGCGCTGCTCGCCGAGGTAAGCTCTGAGCTTTTCTTTCAACATGTTTCGCTTCGATCCCAACGACGGCGTGGCTGCCCTCCTAACCCTAAACTCTCGCCTAATGATCCGTCTCAAGGGGTTCCCAACCTTGGGAGGTTGGCCCATTGTCCTATAGGCCCCTTAGGCCTGGTTGCTTCCGTATTAGCTGTTTTCAGTAACGATGTCCTCCGGGCCCGTTCCAATTCCGATCCCGGTCCCCCTTCAGTGTTTTCGCCAAGTACCGTTGCCTTTCCTGCCTTCTTTCTAAACCCTAAACCCTGAGATCCGGCTTTTCGGGTTTTTTTGAGGGTACTGCATTTCCCATATGAACAATGTTATCGGCAATGGAAGCGAGAACGAGTGCCTTAACGATCTAGTCTTGCTTGCCTGTAGAAAAGGAGGGAATAAGACTGCCATACAATCAATCAGCCAAACCGGTATCATTAATGATTCCATCACATATGACGAACTTGCCCAACGCTCCTCAAACATCGCAATCCAATTAAAGAAATTGTTCTCTCTTGTGCCAGAAGATGTGGTGGCAGTACAAGTCGATGATGACTTCAATCAAGATGATGCATATCGAAGACGAAGGACGATTGATGTGTTGACAGCAAACTTAGGCATCTTCATGTCAGGCGGGTGTTCAATCTTTCTTCACGGACCAAATGTCGTCGAAGAGATGAAGACGTTTGGTGCGAGGGTGTTGATCTTGCTGAGTGATTGCATCCCTGATGAAACATTGAAAACATCTGCCTTAGATGTGCGTGTGGTCAAATTTGAGGAACTGATTGGAGTAGGTGGAGGGCCAAAAGATGTAGACACCCTTGGGAAGACAGGTCACCAGACAGCCGGATTCCATGCAGCTTGGTACAGCTTTGAATCGGACCCACATTCAAGTTCTGCTCGTAGAATTTGTGAACACAGGAATATTTCAGACTATGTTATACATCGTTGGGACAACCTTGTCGCAAAAGGCATCTTTGCGAACGATTTGAAGGAGCAACAGCGTACCCCTAACGTCCTGATGATACCAACAAGGCTGGATGAGGTACAATTGACGTGGCAACTTTTGCTTCTGATTCCACCCCAGGAGTTTTTTATGGCAGATATACTTGCTGTACTGCTTGCGGGAGGAACTTTGCAAATTCTGAAATTTTCTGATGTATTTAACGATGCAATGCACAGGAATTCGTACGCAAATTTGATTCTTTTTCTTGTTCAGGTGATCGATCCGACCTGTGTTAGTAAAATCCAACCAACGTATTTGACCTATCAAACTTTCCTTGATGGCCTACAGTAATTATGAACGCAGCATTATTTGTTGTCCTTTAAAGGTACGCCAACAAGTTTTCGAAGCGCTTTCAGCACAGGAGGGAAAACCTAAAATGATTTCTTTCTATGACCAGCAAAATGAAGACGATGACACGCATTTTGACAGTCTGCTCAAACACATGCAAAGATTTCAACTTGATGCCGTACAAGTTTGGTCTGGACAACTGAATTCGTGTCCTTCACAGACAACACTCATAAAAGGTAAATTTTGACAAGAAGCACGCAAAGAACTAGATATCGATTCATTCCTTTCCAGATCACAATGATGCCAATCTTACAAAAAGTCATCAGAAGAACATCACTCTTGATTGGTCACAGACACAGATTCCTGCTTCTACTTCTAGGATTGAAACGATTCTCGGAACTTGTACAGATGTAATTGGTGAAAGCGGGAAGTGCATATTATTGGTCTTTGCAGAAGGGAATACAAAGCTGGAATCTAAATCAGCATGTGCCGTTCTTCGTGTTCAGATGATAAGGAGCAATCCACGTTTTGGTCGCTCCATGTCTTCCAAAATTTCAATCACTCCCCATTCTGGTAAGCGAGTGACTGAACGAATCAAACTTGATTGTTCAAAAAATTCTACATTTGTCGACATACCATTTAACGCCTTTGATGAGATTTTGATCTCATCCAAACCTTTCATAGAGGTTATTATTCAAGGGGCAGAGGTTCTCGATAACATTGCATTTGTTTCGATAGCTTTCTGCTCATACTTTTCCAGGGAGACGGATTTGATGTTCGTTTCAGTTTTGTTCTAAGGAAATCATATTCGATCTTTGCACAAATCGAACCCACGCACCAAAGCTATTCTTTGGTGAACCTGTACTCTTAGGTTGACAACGGAATGACTGATGATTTTTGTAGAGCAACGAGGAGCACTTGAACGTGCATTTCACTCCTCACAGTCAGCAGCTAATTTTTCTGAATTTCGCTTTGAATAAGAAAGGCAGAAAGCAGCAGTCTGGCATCAACTTAATGTCTGAATGCTTAGACTGGCATTCCTTGGCCAAACAGTATGCGGACCCATGCATACAAATCACAAATGCTTCTGAACAGATACAAGTAAGCACAAGCTTTCAAGCTGACAGTTTTGGGTGTTTGTGTGTAAGCTGGCATTCGTTATACCCAAGCCAGATGTGTTCAGATCTGATCTTCAATAGACCGATGGAGGAGATTTTGGTGCTTACATCCAGAGACTGCTTCAATCCTGAATCCTGATGCAGGAACATGGATGGACGGTATGTATTAATTGTCGGGCCTGGAGCAAAATCAAGAGCTTTTTACCTTTGGTACACAAATTGAGCACACAAGCTCTCAGCGCATCTACTGAAAATGGCAACCGAGTATGCAGCTTTACTCTTTCACTTCCAGAGTCCAGCGCTGTTGATGTAACCGTACAAGTTGCTGGTGAACTAGATATCTTGCCATCAACATTGCTTAACCATATCAAACTTTTCAAAACTCTTTTTGATCCCATTGATGCGTAAGTGCTCTCTTTTTGAACTTTAATCCCACTCACGGGCGATTGATACAGATTTGAGCTTTCTCGAAACTCAACGACTTTTGACGTGGAAGATGAGGATCACTTGACCTACGGCGAAATAGAGGTTTTGCCGTTCTTGGCTCTTATGAGCAGCGTTCGAGACTTGTTTCCTCCGAATCCCATTTTCTGTGACTTGGGCTGTGGTAATTTGTTGAGGACAAGAGTCTTGAGGGATTGACTGGCTGAAGGATCTGGACGAGCTGTTATCGCCATGGCGCTTGCAGAGAATCATTTCAAGTTCAATTTCAGACGTTTTATTGGCATCGAATTGCTCCCTACCCTTTGTAAAGCAGCTCATGCTGTTCATCAGAAAATGATATCTTCTTGCGGCAAAGTGGTGGGTGATAGGAAATGTTCACCAGTTGAATATTATCAGAGCGACTTTCTTGAAAACGACAACTGGACTTGCGCGAATGTTATCTACATTGCATCGCTTTGTTTTGATGCAAACCTGATGTCTAAGTTGTACCAGAAGGCTACTGCTCTGCAAGCAGGTTGATATCATGATAGATATTCATATCTGACCTTACGGTAGATTCTGTCGTTCTTACATTGGAGAGATTTCCAGCAGAAGCAACAAAGCACTTCACAATGCTTCGGTTTGTCGTTCTAAAACGATGAAAAACGCGTCTTACGTGTAGCTTGCGACAGATGTGAGGAGATGGTGATGAGTTGGGGTGTCTGCGAGGTCTTCGTTTACATTCGCAACAGTGTATGAGACTGGACGTGAACGATTGTTGTAAGTGATGAGGCTGGAAACTTGTAAAAGGACAATCGTGGAATTCTCAGTAATCTGCACTTGTCGGACACAATCTGTTGCTGAATTGAGCTTACACCCATACTGCACTTTGTTGATTTTCAACTTTTCATTCCAAAAGGATACCGAGGTAAGTTTTGAATATGCAAACTTAAGAGTTCGAAAAGAGTAGGAGCGTCTCATGTGAGAACCTACGTGGTCAAAATCATATGAAAAACCTCTACGAGAAAGCAAAGTTAAACTACAAATCCTCCAATTGCTTGCGTTTCCATGCTCTAGAATAAACTCCGTTGATCGCTCCCGGGCTGTCTCGCGTCATATCCGTCATACTAATAGTCATCCCAGTCATCTTCCCGAACTCCTTGCTCAACTTGCTGTTGAATGCCTCAACAGCCCACCTAGAAAAGCGTCAGGCTGAAATGAAAACCTGCACAAGTTGTACTCGCGAGACTCCAATCAAACTATCATCACTCACTTTGTGTAATCCAAATCTTCGCTGTCCCCAACACAAGCTTCTTTGAGCAAGATCGCTTTGCAGCCAGCTTCTTTGATCTTTTGTACGTACTCCCTTTCATTAGCATTCTTCTGCATCGCTTGTACTTGTGCTATGATTGGTAGTTTGTCACCACCCAGGGCTTGTACAATGGAAACAGTATCCTCAATCTCCTCAGCAGCAACAAGAAACACATCTGGTTTACACTTCAAGGCCTCATCGACCTGACCATTCTTCTTGATGCTGACTACTGTTTCAAGCCCTAGCTGAGCAGCTGAGCTCACAATCTCCTGGGCCTTCTCCAATCCAACGTCACTGAGCGAGATTGTAACTGCTGAGGCACCCACGGACACAGCAGCTTCGAGCTCCGAGGTGTCAGCAACCTTGCTGTTGTACACAACGGGGCAAGGACCTGGAAAACTGCCTTTGGCCTGCTTCTGCTCTTCGGCGAGAAGTTTGACACGCATGAGAGCTGCGGGTTTGTCTTTAGTAACCCATATCGATGCCGTCTTTGCGTTTCTTAGCTGCATGGACAGGCTCGACAATCTAACCTCACTGAGTTCACCATTGGTTGGAAGGAACTCCACACTTACTGTTGTCGCGCCTGTCGACTTCTTCAAGCACTTTGCCAAGGGTCCTGGTTTCTTGGCAGATGCTGCCGACTGCATAGAAAGAGAAATAGAAGACGACCACCTGACAGATTGTACCGCATGTTTCGATAGGTAACTAATTCTTGAAACTGCAAGTGATGAAGTTGAGAAGCACTCGAAGATTGCTAAGCAGCAAAGTAGTGACGCAGAGAAAAGGTAGGACAAAGCGAAGCGCTTCATAGATCTCGGCATCTGGGCGAACGAACGTGTCAGCTTTCAGAATGTCCTGCAAAACTGACGAGTCTCCTCTTGCTGCCTAAACCCATCCTGAACTCTATCCGTCTTCTACTCCGTCTATGGTATTATCATGCTTGTTTTCTCCCCTGCTGGTATGTTGTTTTATCTTGTCTCCTTCACTTCTCCCTAGATTTCCGCTCTTGGCCTTGTTCGCATGTCAGTCCTCGTTTTTCTTTCTCGAACCTTCGAAGCCGACCCCGCCTCACCAGGCAAGAGCGGCCGCCTAAAAATAGATACGTAAGGTATGATCTTTAACTTAAATTTGAGTAAAAGTAAGGTAAATAGGCTCGGACTAGAAAAGATCCGAGGGCATCGTAATGCATATGCTCAGCACGTCCCGCCGCCAAAGGCCTTTCTTCCCATCATCGCCAGCACTGATGGCCTCTTGCAGGACGATGCGTTGCGCTTTCTGTGGTGGCTGGCGGATCGCTCGGCGAACAAGGAAACGGCAGCGCTGGATGGTCTCTCGGCCTCGCAAGACGTCTCAGGTGATCCGACTTGCAAACGCATCCGGTCCAGGATCTTTCGTCAGCTCAAGGCCTCCCTGTCCTACGCTGCCATCATCGCGGGTGCATCCCGGTATGCGTCTCATGCCTTCGGCGGCGGCCACCGCGACATCGCTGGCATGGCGGCGCGGGGGGATTGTCCAGCGCGCAGTTAAGTGAAGGTATCAGTTCACCGTTAAGTTTGGGGGACAGCAGTCGGCAGGATTGGGGTTGGTTCTCGCTGTCTTTCTCTTCTCGCCGTTTGGCCTGTGCGACAGTGTCAGGGTCAAGCCTCCTCGACTCTCCTGATTGTCCTCGTACTGATCTTTAACTTAACTTTGAGTAAAAGATCAGAAAATCATGGCACAGGCCTTTTACGTTACTCTCATGGCAGCCTGTGAAGCCGCCCGGTCTGTGACTCCAAGACCCGCTCGGAGCCCGACCGTAGCTGGCGCGGCACACACCGCCGGAGACAGGTCCGACTGCCGCCGGACCGCGCGGGATAAATTTCAATGTTATCATAGTTTTGAGCTTTTTCATTAGACATCATGAGTACTAGGCTAGATCAAGGCTGGTCGAAATCCGATGGGATCGATTGATCATATCATGCCAGATGCTAGCCACGACGAGCCAATCACGGTAACGAAAACCCAAAAAAATAAATGAGTCCAAGTCATCATCATTCTTTTCTCTTCTCCTTTTTCGCCTTTTTCTCTTTCTTTGCCTGTTTTGCAACCTCATCAGACACACGAGCGCAAGAGTGAACCCCCTCTACCTTTTTGTCTTTCTTATCCTTCTTTCTGTCCAATTCCATGAAGTCTGCTCCTCCTTCGCTTCCTCCAGATGAGGGAGTGATAGGCGCCGATTCCTTCTTTCTACCTCGAAAATCATCGGCATCACTGTCGTCTCCCGACCATTCTGCCACCATGGTTTTCTTTGCAACGGCAATCAGATACCAAGTCAAACACAGGACTCTCCTGATTCACCTGAGATTTTTTGGCGCTCTTGCTTCTTTTAGAGACCTCGGCATCTTCTTCATCAGAGTAAAATCCAGAGAGATCATCGACAATGCCAAGCTCATTCACTTCAGGCTCTTTCTGTTGAATCGGTTTTTTCTTCTTGTCATGTTTCGTCCCAGAATTGTGGCTATCTTTGTGCTACAGAAGGAAATTTCAGAATAAACAACGATACTGGATAATGGCAAACCTTTCGAGGAGCTTCTTCCTCTTTTTGCTTGGTGTCGGGCGGAGGCATGGATAGACGCTGCTCATCCTCTAGTGTCTGATTGATACTTGATTTTGTCTCTTCAACCCATGAGGAAGGGACTGAAAACTTGAGTCCGGCCGTCGGTTTCGGCTGAGATGCAAGGCTGTCGTGAGGGATCGTCTTTTCACTCTGACTAATTGCTTCAACGCCAGCAGGTCCTCCTTCGTCTTCAGGTCGCGAGTGGTCAACGCTTGAAGATGCCGCAAATGACAGAGCGAGAAACTCAGTGTAATCCTTTTTGCAGGTATCAATACAAAGTTTTCGAAAGCACAAGAAAATTAAATGCCTTTTGTCAATTTTGTACCTGGTTGTGAGAAGCTTTGTGGCGCAGTTTGATTGCTCCATCTACTTCCTTCATAGTCTTTTTTACTTCTTGCCGGTATTCTTCAATCTAAAGAATGTTGGTTCTTGACATTCATACAGCACGTACCTTAATGTGATATAAACATATTTGCAAGAATGCTTCAACAGCTGAGCGTGGATGGTCAGCTTGGTAATATGTGAGAAAAAACATTGTTACCAGGCATTCCGAACATGTTCGATAGACAGCATTCACAGAAATGCACATTTTCTCCGCAACCAGCCACAAACTAGGAAGTTCAGATATTCAAAAATGTAACCAAGCAGCACCTGTTGCATTATCTGTCGAGGTGTCATCCAGGTACTGACCAAGTCACGAAAGTTTGCGACGAGCAAGACCTCCATCCCTTGAATCGCAACTTGAGGAGGCAGGAAATCTCAGAATGGAAAGCACCTTCGGGAATCTCTTCGATGATATCCTTCGCATGTGAAAAAGTCCATTCCTGCATGAAGATTTCAGCCATCTTCCGCGTCAGTACACGATTCCTTGCCTTGGTAGGATTCACCATAACGATAACCCCATCGGCATCTCCATAAAGCTCCGATAAAGCTGCATGCAAGTAAGACACTTATCTCATCTCCATCACTTTTCACCTGTGTTGCTCGCTTTGGTTGTTTTCTTCGAAGAAAATCGCTTTTTTTCTTCATGAGATATTTTGAGACTGTTATTCTGGGCACTTGAGGTCATTTGAGAAATGCAACAACATTTTTGAAAACCTGATCATCGTCGGTTTTCCTCGTGTCTGCTTCAGGTACGACAACCATTGTAAGTTGTACATCCTGTACGCTAGTTCAGATCCAAGGTTTCACGTTTTGGGATTCCCAAAAACCTGCCCTGCATCTGCCGCCCATTGCACCTTCACCACTTCAGGTGCGTCTTGCAAGGATCATAAGCCTTGTGTGATAAATTAAGGAATTCTCTACCCGATTTTGAAGGAGCATATTTCGAGTCGAAGAGGCCTCCACTTAATAGTTTAGAGAGCATAGTCTTGCCGGTTTCCTTTTCCCACTCTCATCATTTTGAAATGATTAGGAAAATCAGCTTGCAACCTTTTCGCCTCTGATTACTAACTTCAGTTGATGCAAAGATGTTCTTCCAAATCGCTGAAATTAAGAAGTAAATAACCGGAAGTCAGAGTTATCATAATCCACCTGATTCATCTGCTTGTCCATCATCTTGATGTTTCTCCTACAAAGCAGTTAGAACGTTTTGATCGAACAATGAATAGGAGGCTACTTTCGCTGCTCATCGGTGAGGGATGAAGCCTGCACATTGCCCATTATGATGTTCGACCTGAAACCAGATCAGCACGGTAAAACAAGGCAATTTGTCAGATTAGATCCCCTTTCATGCAGAGTTCCTCAATCTTTCCCAGCCACTAAACTGTCCCTTGAGCTATCTGACTTCTTCATCTAGAACTCTCTTGGTTCTTCCAGCCCCTCGCACCAGCTTTGTTCCTTCAGCTCCCTACTGCGATAAAAGCTATCCGATCACCAGTTGTGATGACAGTGCTTCATGCTCACAAGGCTGTATTCAGTGGCCCTGCCGGGCGCCCGGGGCCGGCGGGCGGCCGCACTGCATGTGACACGGTCGTGCCAGTTTACTCAAAGTTAAGTCACGTTAAAAATCAGTACGAGGACAATCAGGTCGGAGAGTGGAGGAGACTTGACCCTGACACTGTCGCACAGGCCAGTTGTACCGTGGCAGCCAGCAACTCGGCCCCCGGATGCCGCCCGGCGGGCCCGCTGGGCCGCCGCCGGGGCCCGGGGCGGCGCCGGGCCCGGCCCGGGCCCGGCCGGGCCGCGCACTGAGCCAGAGGCTGGCAGGGCCGCTCAGCCGCCGCGTGTCAGTGCCCCGCGCGGACTCTCATTGGGTTATCTTGGTTCGGATATGACAAGTTGTGCCACAACCACCGCCGGCGCATCATCAGTGATGATGCAGTGCCGCGCCCCGCCGCCGGGGCCGGGGCCCTGCGGCCACTGCCGGCTGACACCGGGCTGCCGAGAGTCAGGGCCTGGCAATCACTGATCCGGGATCATCCGAGCCGGGCGGCATTGTAGTACGTCTTGCCAAAGTCACCCGGGTCGGCCCGGACTCAGTCCGATCCTACTAGTTTCTGTCACGGCCAGGACTCCGGGAGTATCCAGGCTACTATGATTAGTCTCTCAAATCATCGGATGCCGGACGGTCCGACCGTCGGCTGTCCTCAATTCTTTAACGGTTTCGCCGGTCTACTGTCTTGTTGCGGCAGCTGAGGTCAATCATCATGATACTGATAAATGATCACGGGCCCGGCCCGGCCCCGCCGCGCGGTCCGACTTGAGTGGCAGTCACGCCCGGCGGCAGTGTAATTAAATACTTGAAAGGTACCGCAATTAAAACAGTAATATGACATATACATACTTTTTAGCATCTATGTGTTTTACTCATTATTCCATTCCTGATAAGTTTCACTTACCACCTTCGCCACCAGGTACAATCGATTGGTCACTAGAGCCAAATCCCAGTACACATTATGTCTTCTCTAAAAGTCGATTTCGGCGGGGTTCTAGTCAACCACCCCACCCCAATTAGACCTTGGTGAAAGGCTTGGACTAGACTTCGAGTACCCCTCGTGATCATCACCCACCCTGTAACATAGTTGTTTCCAAAATCAGATATGACAGTTATTTCCCCTAATTTCAAAGTAACCGTTTTTACCGAAGGGGCGCTGGTATGTTCGGAGGGGAGGAATAGCAACTGGGAGGGTTAGCAGGGGGAAAGTCCAGCGAGTGATCAGGAATATCTGCTGGACGATTCAGTTTGTTCATTCAACTCCGCGGTTGTCCTTTGGTTCCAGTGATGACGAAAATATCTTGGCTGTATTTCCCCGTTCTATCAAGGTCGAACAAATGGCTCTTGGCGACTTCAGCTCTTGCTTGTATTTGCTTACTGGGAATCATCTCGTTTCACTCGCAAAAGCAACCAACTGATCTGTTTCAAAGATCCAGCCCTCCATCAGTGAATGCCCGAGATAGTCTGGTCACAGAGAAGCTCAGGTACTCTGACGAGCTTGAGCTGAAGGATTCGTTCATCCCCCCTAAAAACGTCTATATTTTCTGGGGGAAAAGTTCGTTTAAAGGATATGGTGCTCTTGGACGTGCTTCTTCTGCAGACAATGTTCGGAAGGTGCTGGGTGTCGGGCATTTCACAGGAAATCACTACGATGCTGCATCCCATGGACATGGCAAGTTCATTTACTCTTGGGACGGTGCGGAGATGAGAAAGCTGTCGAGGACCTGTTGTTCAACTCTCATCATTCCACCCATGGAAAATGACCTGCCCCTCTTCGTTCAGGACTCTATCGCTGCGCGATGCATAAAAGAATTCGTCGCGAACGGGAATCGTTTGGTATTAACTGGAGGATCATTCTCATCGCTAGTCTTCTTGAATCGCTATTTTCATGTGGACGTAGAGAAAGAAGTATATGACCCAGGTCCTTTTGATCGCAGAGGTTATCTTTGTTTGTTTTCCTCCTCAGATCATACTTACACTCATGTTCCAGGCGATGTTGGAGATAGTCAAACCAGTGCCCTGTTGAGGGGATTGCCATCTTATCTTCCGCAGGATGGAATGAGTGTTACGTCAGTCCGACTACATTCTTTGCCACCAGACACTGTTGTGCTCTACTCTACATTTCAATCGACTCCTTTGTTTGAGATGAAGTATTGCATGAAACCATTGGGATATCCATTGCACCCTCCACAGGTAAATCCTTGGCAATAAAACTGAGAAGTCTGATAATGATTCTAACCAGCGAGGTCTTCTTGGCTATTGGTGCTCACAGCATCGCGGAATAATGTGCATCGAACAAGCAACGTATGAGGAATGTCAACAAATGGCTGATTCCAACGTGCCATGTTCCTGTGGGGTAAGCATCGAATTTTTCAGAATTCACGCGCATGAGATGAATGTGGCAGACTATACTCTATGATGGATATGATTTTGTTGGAAATCATAAGACCTGGTCATCTCCAAGTATTTGGGATGATACCTTGCGGATGGCTGCATTACTACCTCATCTTGGGGTTGATGGGCACCCTGTTTTCCCACGACCCCCTCCACCTCCACCTCCACCTCCACCTCCATCAGTCTGGACGCTTCGAATTTTTTCTTCTCATTACGATCTTGTCAATGTTCCAGACATGTATGATTTGGAATACGTGGGAGATGCCGTGCTGGAAGGGTACATCGATTTTAACTCCAGAACTGGAGTTTCAGAGCTAGTTCCGTCGTTGGATACCTACCACGGACAGGTTTTCTGGTTTTAAGTGATTTTTTCAAGAAATTAACATTTTCTCGTATTGACAGGGCTCATATCCGCAAGGCAGTTTTGCTGGTGTGATCTACGGAGTGGTTTATATTGAAATTGCTGGTTCATATACGTTCTGTTCGCTGTCGATGGATGGCTCGCGAATATTCATTGATCGAGAAGTAGTGCTCAACAATGATGGTAGACACAGCTCGGTAAGGCGACTTTTGAAACTATTCAGGTTCTGACTGTGGATATAGCCCCATGAAGAATGCGCGATTGTGGAGCTTGCTGAGGGCTACATAGATTTGACAGTGGACTTTTTCTCGTATCATCAAGCATTCCGCCTACAAATCAGCTACAGCGGACCAGATACAGATGAAGAAACTCAACTCCTCAACAGCTGGAGGAGCTCCGAGTTTCCTCCACCACCTCCCCGCTCGCAATGGGTAGTGAGAACCTTCTCCTCAGATCATACCCTCTACTCCACTGAACGATTGGCTGGATTGCATCCTTCTGGCTCTGCGTCTTTGATATGGCCGGCTGTGAGCTCCTTGTCGGAATTACAAGAAGCTATTCCATCTACCCCTGGATCCAATTTCGTTTATCAATTGTTTGGCGTGTTTCAAGCAAAGGAATCTGGAGACCATGCCTTGTGCACTGAAGGTGCGAGCGGCTCCCGATTGTTTATCGATGGCGAATTACTTGTTTGGCACGATGAGCTGTCTGGAGGGGAGAGCTGTATCTCATTAGTCTTGGAAGAAGGCTTCTATAATTTGAAAGTTGATGGGTTTGTGCAACACAGTCAGAGCAGAATTTTTGTGAGTTATGTAGGTCCAAACACACGTCAAAATCGACAGTTGATTTTTGGCTCAAGGGCACCAACGATTCCTGCGATTCCAAGACAGTCATCCTTCGGAATTCGACTCTATTCTTCCTACTTTGATCTGAACAGGATTCCTGACTACGAAGGATACCTCAATTTTGTTGGTGAAAGTGCTTCCATGGTTTTACCACTTATAAACAGTATCCAGAATTTGAGATCGTACAGTTCATCGTCCCTGCCAGATCATGATGTTCTGTATCTAATCTATGGTGGTTTGAGAATCAATCGAGCTGGATTGTACACCTTCTGTTTGAGTTCGCAAGATGGAGCTGTTCTGAAAGTGAATGGTGCACAGGTTGTTGACAATGACGGAATCCATGTTAACCGGGAACGTTGTGCAGACATCACCCTAACAGAAGGGAGGCATGCCATTTTAGCTAAGGGGTTTGCTGGAACATCGGAAGTCTCATTACGATTGACCTACAGGGGGTTGGACACCGGAAATAGTCTTGTTCCACTCATCAGCGAGACCTCCGCCATGCCTGAGAGGGCTTGCAGACCTCCCAGTGCTTTGGAACCTTCTGCGGATGGAACTAGCTTGCGTTCAGGAACACGTGTTTGTGGTAGTCAACTCATGTCGGACAACGGCAGATACGTACTTGTGATGCAAGATGATGGTAACTTGGTATTGTATGAGCTGGCATCGACCTCATCAACATCAAGTCTGATCCATACAGCTATCTGGAATACACAAACTAACGGGCACGGCCATGGTCCGTATTCACTGACGCTTCAAAATGACGGCAATGTAGTGCTGTATGATTCTACCAGGCAGGTCATCTGGACTGTGGGGGTGGTTGGATGGGGTGACGGACAACTCAACATCCGAAATGATGGCAACGTTGTCATTTCATGGAGCAATGGGAACACATGGACAGCAGGCACTGCAGGAACTGGCATCTGGCATCATTTGCACTGTCCCGGTGGTGATAACGGAATCGTACGTCTTGTAAATTGCAATGAGAGGGCTTGCCGTGTGGAAGTGATCCACCATCGTGAGTGGGGTACTGTCTGTGACGACTCATTTGGAAATGAAGATGCCGCAATAGTCTGTCGCTCCCTGGGATACTCGCCAGAAGGAGCAGTGCAAGTACAGGCGTTCGGTGGTGGCTCCGGTCCCATTTGGATGGACGATGTTCATTGTTATGGAAATGAACTAGAAATCACACACTGTCACAGTTCCGGTTGGGGTAACCATAATTGTGGTCACCAAGAAGACGTAGGTGTGTGTTGTCATGGCCCATCGACGACAGCTTTTACGCCGTCTCTGAATCCCCCAGAGCTTCTGTGCCCTGGTGGTGACAATGGCGTGGTCCGTTTGGTTGCTTGTTCACCTGAAGCTTGCCGCGTCGAAGTCAACCATGGCGGAGCCTGGGGAACCGTTTGTGACGATGCTTTTACAGACACCAATGCCCAGGTGCTAATCCATCATTCTGTTTACATGGGTTTATTTTTATGCAGGTCGTCTGCCGCTCGCTGGGCTATTTGCCAGACGGTTCGGTTCAAGTGCAGAGCTTTGGAGGTGGAAGTGGACCAATCTGGATGGATAATGTAAACGCTATCTCTCTGAGATTTTCTTTTGACTCTGGTATGAATTCAAGGTGGAATGCGGAGGTACTGAACCGGAGATAACTTGGTGTGCATCGAATGGATGGGGAAATCATAATTGTGCACACTCTGAAGATGTTGGCGTATGCTGCATGGGAACAAGCACGTCAGCATTTTCGCCATCATCTAATCCGCCTGAAAGGCCTGTAGACGCAGTTCGATTGGTGCAATGTAGATTGGACGGCTGCTGCCGTGTGGAAATTGAGCATGCTGGAATTTGGGGAACTGTGTGCGACGACTCCTTCACCAACACCAATGCTCAAGTGGTCTGTCGACAAGTTGGGTGTTCGGCAAGCGATGCAACACAACGACAAGCATTTGGTGGCGGAGCAGGGACTATTTGGATGGATGAGGTGAGACTTATTTGATTTTCAAGGCCAAAATTTGACACACTCGACAGGTAAGATGCAATGGAAACGAACCAGGGTTGTCAGCATGCAGTTTCAATGGCTGGGCCCACCACGACTGCTCGCACGGAGAGGACGTGGGCGTGTGCTGTCATCAATGTCCACCTGGAATCCGTCCAAATCCACAACCAGATGGCATAAGGCTCGTTGCTTGCAGAGGCGACGGGTGCTGCCGAGTAGAGGTGGAGCACGATGGGACGTGGGGTACGGTGTGCGACGACTCCTTCTCAGACGCCGACGCTCAAGTCGTGTGCCGACAAGTCGGATGCCCGACGGGAGGAGCAAGGCAGATACAGGCTTTCGGAGGAGGGAGCGGGCCAATCTGGATGGACCAGGTGAGCTGCAGCGGAAGCGAACCAGGGCTATCTATGTGCAACTTCGACGGCTGGGCCCACCACGACTGCTCGCACGGAGAGGACGTGGGCGTGTGCTGTCAAGGCGGCTGCACGTCGGGAGGCGGGTCAGGAGGCGGGTCAGGAGGCGTCGCGACTCCGGGTCTCCGGCTCGTTGCTTGCAGAGGCGACGGGTGCTGCCGAGTAGAGGTGGAGCACGATGGGACGTGGGGTACGGTGTGCGACGACTCCTTCTCAGACGCCGACGCTCAAGTCGTGTGCCGACACGTCGGATGCCCGACGGGAGGAGCAAGGCAGATACAGGCTTTCGGAGGAGGGAGCGGGCCAATCTGGATGGACCAGGTGAGCTGCAGCGGAAGCGAGGCCAGCCTGCCGACATGTCACTTCGACGGCTGGGCCCACCACGACTGCTCGCACGGAGAGGACGTGGGCGTGTGCTGTCAAGGCGGCTGCACGTCGGGAGGCGGGTCAGGAGGCGGGTCAGGAGGCGTCGCGACTCCGGGTCTCCGGCTCGTTGCTTGCAGAGGCGACGGGTGCTGCCGAGTAGAGGTGGAGCACGATGGGACGTGGGGTACGGTGTGCGACGACTCCTTCTCAGACGCCGACGCTCAAGTCGTGTGCCGACACGTCGGATGCCCGACGGGAGGAGCAAGGCAGATACAGGCTTTCGGAGGAGGGAGCGGGCCAATCTGGATGGACCAGGTGAGCTGCAGCGGAAGCGAGGCCAGCCTGCCGACATGTCACTTCGACGGCTGGGCCCACCACGACTGCTCGCACGGAGAGGACGTGGGCGTGTGCTGTCAAGGCGGCTGCACGTCGGGAGGCGGGTCAGGAGGCGGGTCAGGAGGCGTCGCGACTCCGGGTCTCCGGCTCGTTGCTTGCAGAGGCGACGGGTGCTGCCGAGTAGAGGTGGAGCACGATGGGACGTGGGGTACGGTGTGCGACGACTCCTTCTCAGACGCCGACGCTCAAGTCGTGTGCCGACACGTCGGATGCCCGACGGGAGGAGCAAGGCAGATACAGGCTTTCGGAGGAGGGAGCGGGCCAATCTGGATGGACCAGGTGAGCTGCAGCGGAAGCGAGGCCAGCCTGCCGACATGTCACTTCGACGGCTGGGCCCACCACGACTGCTCGCACGGAGAGGACGTGGGCGTGTGCTGTCAAGGCGGCTGCACGTCGGGAGGCGGGTCAGGAGGCGTCGCGACTCCGGGTCTTCGGCTCGTTGCTTGCAGAGGCGACGGGTGCTGCCGAGTAGAGGTGGAGCACGATGGGACGTGGGGTACGGTGTGCGACGACTCCTTCTCAGACGCCGACGCTCAAGTCGTGTGCCGACACGTCGGATGCCCGACGGGAGGAGCAAGGCAGATACAGGCTTTCGGAGGAGGGAGCGGGCCAATCTGGATGGACCAGGTGAGCTGCAGCGGAAGCGAGGCCAGCCTGCCGACATGTCACTTCGACGGCTGGGCCCACCACGACTGCTCGCACGGAGAGGACGTGGGCGTGTGCTGTCAAGGCGGCTGTTCTGGGTTAGAAAGCGTTGGTCAACCTGCTGTTCTTCATTCAAAGATTGTCAGTTTGCTCCACAAGTAACTTGTCGTATCTTTCTACTCTTTTCTCATTCATTTGCAGGCAACGTTCCCTGAAAGAAGGATTTCAGAATAGCAAGTTGCCGGTCTTTTTTTAGTCTTTGTTCAGATTGTTCTTTTTATTATCTTTTCAGATCCACGGTTGGCATCCGCGAAGACCTGGTGCATCGCGGCGACGCTTTATAAGTTAAAGCTTTATAGTAGCCTTTGATTCTTTTACTTTCAAGTTTGAAAGAAGTTTTTGTTTTCGGAGTGGTTGACTCAACCGTCTTGCCTAGTACCGTCAAGCGTGCTCGCATGGCCTCACACCACACTCAGGCCGCTCCATTAGCGCCATACAGCCGCTGAGTGGAGCCTCGGAGCCCGGCAATGGGCCGGGCCACGCGGTGACCTCAGAGGCTCCTGCAGCAGCTCCTGCAGCAGCTCCGGCAGCTCAGGGCACTGCTCCACCAGGCACTGCTCAGGGCAGGGCTGACTGTGCGGGGAGGAGGGCCGCAAGTCGGGGTAAGCGGGGGGAAGAGGCAGTTGGTTATTTTCGGAGTGTGGCAACGATGGGCGGAGGGAAGTTCGCAGGACCATCCGCAGCGGCCGTCATGGCAGCCGTCATGGCCGGTAGAATCATACTAGATTGACTAGATAGTGTACACCGATGTCTCGGCGTGCTCATGTGCCTGTTTTGTTGGCAGGTTTGGCTCTGATACTCGCTTGTTCGCATTCGTGGAGTGGCAGTAGGAGCAGCGGCTTGTTAGAAGGAGGGGGGTTTCTCGGTGACTTGCCGTGAGTGAACAGTGTAATATTTGTGTTACTCAAGCTCTGACATGCTATTGTAGAAAAGGTGGGGAGACGGGAAGACAGACTGTCAAGGAAATGAAGGCATTGCTCAAGGACACAGCCAATAAGAAACAGCTGCAGAACAAACTCGCAACAAAACTGCTGGGCAGAGCTGCACAACATGTGCATAATGCAAAGGCAAGAGCAGCGGCGGCGGCGGCAGCTGCCGAAATTGAGAAGATTCTTGACGTACCAAGCGCGAGAGACATCGTAGAAGGACATTCCAGGGACCACTCACAGACATCGGATGTGAAGGTAAAGCCATCTCACAAGCTCAAGCTGGCAACATGGCTCAAGACCCCCAAAGGAAAGTTACCTGTACGTGCTGCGTGTACAGTCTGACATGCTCGCAGATGAAGGCAAATTCAGTTACTCTAAGAAGCAGCTCGAACGAACATCGAGTCCTTGTGCCACACGACATGATTATGAATGCAACGAGATGGACGCAGCGTCACAAGCACATGGCTGGTCTGACACTCCAGATAGAAGGTGTAAACTGTATTTCGAACCCTTGGTTGCTGATAACGATCTGCAGTGTGATGGGCGCGTCGAATTATGATTCACAATATTAGAACTGTCGAGATGATACCATGCTCTGTTGCTGGTGAAAAATCCGTGCACGGCTAGAAAGAAATCCTTGTGTTTGAACTCTTAACTCAAATGCTCAGCCTAGAAAGTGTAAAATGCAATGAGTAAATGCAAAAGAAAATTGATTCACTTCTTGTCAAGTATCTGCCTTTGAGATCAAGTTCACAGCTTGTCAAGTTCTAGTTAGCATCGTCTCGGGTTCCATGACAGATTCACAACTGACGTCTGGGCTCACACGGCTGACTGTAGCTGTTCACGCACCGTACGGGGTCGGACGGCTGGCTTCTTTTTGTGCACAGATCTGCCCCAGAATAAGATTAAGACAAGAGAAGAGGCAGCGAAAGACTCCTAGATCAATTTTATTAAGAGCAATTTTGGCCACCGCATGCAAGGTACCTCTGCTCTGAGGCAGCCCCACAAGGGCGTGAAAACTGTGAAGGCGGGAAAGCAGCGGCTCATGCCTCGGTTCGTGGGGTTGCATCAGGGGGATGAGGAGGATGGACAGGAGGAGCACGAGTCTCTTGAACTTCAGGTCTCCTCTCCTCTCCTTCTCTTTTCCTTCTCCAATGTTGTCCTCTATCTCCTTGTCATCGTCTTTCCTTTTCCCTTTTCCACTTTCGTTCGATTCTCACCTCGCCCCTGTTCTTCGAAAACACGTTCTTCTCGCTCGCCCTGATGCCGGTCTAGGAAGCACGCGTTCGACGTGCATATCAGCGGGGACTTCAACTCCTAGCAGAAAGCAAAGTTGAGGAAGCAGAGCGGGAACTCCAGGGGACCTTGAAAGATCAAGCTTTTGCCAGGGATGTTTGCTCCAATTCGAAGTACAACACTCTCAGACAGGTTCGATATCTCTGCCTCAAGAATCTTTCAAAGATAGCAGAAGATAGAAAGGACGTAGAGACGGTAAAGTTAAAGACGCTCGTTCATTCCTGACAATCTCCGTAGGCGATGAAGCAACTGGGCGAAGCCCTCGCGCTTGACGACAGGGACATTGTAGTATGGATAAAGTTGGGGGGGCTGGCGATGGAGATTAGGAAGTACAATGTTGCTCGCTATGCTTATGAGCAAGGGCTCAAGCTGAGGCCAAATCACCCAATCTGCCTCGAGAAGCTCTGTGAGGTTGCTTTTGTCCTCGGTGATATATCAACCTGTCAGACGTCCATTTGTCAGCTTGAAGCGCATTTTCCCTTCCATCCCCGGGCAAAGAGATTGAGAGATCTGTGTGATGAGGGACATTTGAGGACAAGCTATGATACCTCAGAACATGACGATCACCTTAACATGTTGAAAGACCTGCGGAACAAACGCCCGCGTGTCGAAACTCAAGCACCAGTGTGTGTAACCTTGGTAGTCAAGGAATGTTCGTGGTTCAGTTTTCTTGTTACATTGACAGAAGTTTTGGATTCAGATGTATTTCGAAAACATCCATGTTCTAACGCTAGAATCGTTATACACGAACAAGAGATCTGTGATCTTCCCTCAACGAATTCGTTTTCAGTGAAATCAATTGATATCCTCTTTGACTCCGATGAAAGGAAGCAAGCTGAATCATATCTCCCAGAGAAATCACTTTGCCTTCGATGCGGAGGAGACGATGAGACAGGAGATCGCCTCGTCTTATGTGAGAATTACGACACATGCGGAGGAGCTTATCATTTGGCGTGTCTTGATACCCCTCTGCGGCAGATACCTTCTGGAGACTGGTTTTGTCCAACTTGTCTTCAGAAGATTACAACTTCGGATGATTCAAGTAGACCCGATGTCGTGTCAGACAGCCAACAACCTCGGTCTTTGAATTCACTGCAACAGGTTGACGTTTTACATGCGGATGGATCCAGGGACTCGATAGCGAACAGTTCTCCTGGCAAAAGTCCGAGAGGTCGTAGGAAAGGCAGGATTTCAGAAAATTCCTTACAACCTAGAAAGACCCTGCGGCGAAATTGTGTTCTCAACAAGCCTGTTGCAGCTGAAAGTTTGCAAAAATTGCTCGATCTCGTTGCACATTCTGATTCTCTTGGGGATGTTGTTGAAACTCAAGCTAGCTCTGAATCAGCACAGAATGAATCACGTGTTGAACTGAATCCGGTGGAAACCAAACAGAGCAAGCAATATCCTATTTCGCTAAGCCGTGTTGATATGTTACATCATGTAAAGGACATTCATGGAGTCCAAAAAGATGAGTTTTTGTCATTTGTGGAAGGATTACCGAAGACTTGTTGCATCTGGGAGCTAGTTCATAGAGTTGTGAACCATCTTGCCATCATGTCAAGCAAGTATAGGGTGGGTTTGGCTTTGAGCTCTTTCCAGACTGATTTGTGATATTTTTGCAGATCCGAGGCAAGCTGCTAGAATGTCTCATGGGAATGGTCAAACGGGTATGGCACACAATTAAACTTGAACCTTGTGCCATCCTTAGCTTGTCAGAGATATGGTATGACGTGGAATCGAAAATGAATGCTGCACACATGTCGTCCAATGAGACAGATGACAAGTACGAAATGGAGGTTCCATATGAGAATTTGCAGGAAACAGATTTTAGATTTTTGTATGAATATCTTTATGAGATTGATTTCAAAGGCATTGAGGAAAAGGTGAGACGGCTCTGGCTTCTTGCAAGGATTTTTTCCAGACGCCAAGAAAAGCAATCGACGTTGGATGCTCTGAAGCAGATATACAATCTCCTACCTGAGGATTTTCCACCTATCTGTTTACCAAGCTGTGTCTTTGAAAATATTATTAGCAGAGAGATGATTGCTGACGGCATTGCAATCGAAGAGGAATTTCTCAGAGACCAAACTCTTGAAAGAAAAATACAAGGGCTTGGACTAGAGTTGTCTAGATCAACTTCAGATACTCTCAGTATTCAAGAAACTGCGTCCAAGACTATCTCAGAGCTGCAACCATTCCTCATACCACCACATGCGGAAAGCTCTGGATGGTTGATACGTCAAGTTCAATGTATCGATTCATCCTTCAATCGCAGGTTGCATCAAGTAAAGCAATTCTGCAAAGCTTGTTCTCAGCTTCCGGATAAACTGAGGGAGCATATCTACGTCCTTAACATGGTACTTGCAGAGGCATTGCAAGTCAAAGATATCTTCAATGAAAGCTCTGATGATACGCTGTAAATCATCACTTTTGAAGTCTAGATATCTGAAATATGTGTGCAGGTATCAAGAACTGCACGGAGAATGGAGTGAGAGAATAGAAGTGTTGCTAGAACTACTGTCAAACTTCGTCGATGCAATGGATAACGCGACTGAAGATATGAAGAAATCTTTGCAATCGATGCTTCATCAGCTGGAAGTCCAAATAGCAAGGTTAACGTACAAGCTTGGCTGTTCTAGAACTTTTGTTGACCAATTTCATTCAATTTGTGTAACTTTCTACAATTTTTTCTGCAAATCTAAGCAGGACTTGGATTTTTCCAAAGAACAAGAAGTGCTGTCATGGATTTTGGACGAGTTTCTCCGACGAAATATTCTTCAATCGTATGCATACGATGTTCCCAAGTTATATCTGGCAAAGCTTCATGACTGGTATTATCGCCTACAAATGAACAGGCAGAAGGCAAACAAAAGTGAAGAGGAATCCAGCTCCGAAGAGCAGGAGGATGGTTTGGAGCATTTATACGAGGAGCTGGCAAAATGCTATTTCGTGATATTCCGTGTGAAGATAAGTAAGTCCCAGCGTATTCGGTCGATATACGATGACGTGGATGCCTTGTATAATTCGTTCTATGAAACACCTTTTACCAAAAAAAAATCGATTCCCAAAGGCTCAATTCAGGATGTCCAAGCGGAAAATTTGAGCCGACATGACTGTGTCAAGTTCTGGAAGTTTTTAGATTCCAAATTTCAACTTTCGCACGAAGCGAAACCTCGTTCGGATCTTAGGGAAGCTCTCTTGGCAGTAATTTCTATAATTGGTGAACCTCCAGAAAGTCTGTTTCGGGGCAAGGACATTGTTACAAACTATTTCAATGAGACTCCTTTCGTTGACAAGTGTCCAGATGCTGAAGCTTTGGTTCCAGACTTCTCTAAGGTTATCTCAAAATGGAAAGAAATCACATCAGGGGTTAATGATACTGAAGAATATGATGACGCTTTCAAAATCTATAGAGATATCTATTTTCACCTTGCTTTGTGCCTGAACAAAGCAGACAAACAAAAAGCAATAGAATTCTTCCTTAGAGATTTGTGGATATGTCCACTTAGAAAGGAAAGTTGGTCTAGACTTGCAGATTTGTATGAAGACATGATGTTCTCCCATGAAGAATATGGCATAAGGTATCTATCCCTTCGAATAATTCTTTCCTCACACCTGTATTCCTAACATTTCTTTTCAGGTGCTCCCTAACCCTTCATTACTCAATCCAGAGCCAGCAATGTCTCTGCAATGCTCTGCTTGCGAATGCGGCTGTTATTGCTCTTGAGCCGGATAACAAAGACTCGAGGAAGGGAATCGGTGTTTTGCTTTACTTGATCACCCAGGGCTCAGCCAAGCCCCCCTTTTCTCGTCCAACTGAATGGATTCACAAGATCAGAGTGCGTGCTTATGAGGAATTCTTGATTGCGCAGAAAAATAATCGAGAAAATGATTGGACTTGTGCTTACTACTGTGGAAAGCTCTCTTGGAAGCTTGGAAAAGTAGATGTTTGTCTAGAGCATCTGTTCCTTGCGGCTTGTGCGAATTCTGAAGATGAAACTTTGGGCGTGGAGCCGCTTTACAAACTTCATTCAACTCGAAGCAAGTTATCACTGAGCAAAGGGTGTGATCTGGATCTGCTAAGGAAGTATTCCTTGGAAATTTGCATGTCAAGAAATCTCAATGAGGGAATTAGTCGAAAATTTGGCATTGAAAAGCCCTGTGTTGATGTATCTAAACAATATGCAAAGGCATGCAAGGAGCAAGATGAATTTCAAAATTCTGTTGGTTCTAACAAAAATTCTTCTTTGACCGATAATCAATTGTTAGTGCTAAGGGATGCTATGATTGCTATGCGAATCGCGATAAATACAAACAAGAAATATTGTTGCTCAAGATACAGGTATCGATTGGCGTGGCTTATGAAGCAATTCATTCAAGATGACAAGCAAGAATCTGCCAATAAAGAGCTGGCAGACAACCTGAACCCAATATTCTTTAGCGATAAAGGTGACCTGCATGCAGCTGGTAATATTGAACGTAGATTGAGCAACTATTTGAAAGACAGTGATGAAGAAAGTGTTGCGAGCTGGAGCAATTTGCACACACACATTCGACAAAAGAACAAATTAATCACGTTCCTGGGCCGTGTTTTGCGATATTCTTCTTTCTGGACTGTGGCAATTGACAAGATTGATAAACTTTTGGATTCTTTACTAAAGGAGGAGAGGATCAGATCTAAGTATGACAACAGTGTCCAAAAATCACATTCTGTCATGGACTCAATCCAAAATCTTGTGCAGAATATGTATGATATGATTGTGCAAATTTCCCTCCAAAATGATACTGAATCGTTGAACGTTTCATTTATGAAAGCTGGCAAATTGAGAGAGCTGCTTTACAACGCGGACAGAGAGATATATTCTCGTCTTCAAATAGATGTCAGTCTACAGGTTTCGAGTGCAGACAAGGCCAAGCCAGTGTTCATAGAGAGCATCGATTGCCCTGTCACCGAACTTTTCGGTTGGACCTGTAAACGTTTCTGCGAAAGCACGAATACGCCCTACAATGAAACCGGCACCAGTTCCGGAAAAGGCGTCCTATGCACAGCTGTGGGAATCTGGAAGGGGAAAAGTTATGAGAAAAGAATCAGACCTCCGCAATCTCAGAAAGTGCAGGAACCATCACACGCCATTCACACTGTGGAGAATAAGGAGGACCACGACACAACGAAGGGAAAAGATGCAAACTCTACAATAACCTTGATTGAGCTGTCTGCAAGTATGGATGATTCCAAGAATTCCCCTTCGGACAAAGATGTCAGTCATGCTGACGTTGAACTAGATTCAGAATCAAATCGTGACAAGACCAACATAAAAGACCGTAGAATGCTTGCGATCCAAGATGACAGCTCGATGCGACCAAACGCAGAGGCTAGCGGGAAAGGATGCAACGATAACTTCGAGACACAAGACACCAATGCGATGATGGATGTTTCTGAAACGGAAAACGCAATGAATCGTTCCTTCATGGAGGAAGATTCTTCTGTTGGCCACCAAATCGACTCAGGTCAAGTGGAGGAGAAAAACATGCACGACAGTCATGTGGATTCTGAAGCCCAAGACCATGACGAGGCATCCAGAGAGAAGGCGATCAGGGAGACTGATGCTGATGAAACGATCGTCATAGACGACGGCCCCGTCGACGAGGCCAACGACAAGGAGACTGAGAGTGCGGTAGATGGGTCATTGAACAAAGACTTGGAAATCTTGCCCGACCAAGCAGGTGTGGAAGGCCGAACAGGAGAAGTACATGATGAATCCTTGACTCGATTGTCACTTCCTCAAGACGCGGAAGACTTGACTTCGATGTTCGTGCTTGCCGATGATGTGCTGTGCGAAGTTTCCATACCTTCAGGTGCATGCGGCGGAGACCAGCTAGAATTGGAAGATTTTTGAACATGATAAACGAAAATCCCTCTTCAACAATGTAGATCTTTAGTTCTCAACCTTGATGATCCTGTCAGAAGTGGATTCCTTGCACTTTTGTGCAACTGCTCTTTGGTCCATGCCTTCTTCATCGCTCCTCAACCGTTTAGGGAGTTGACAATCTCGGCCCGTCGGACTGATTGCTTCTAGCGCCCTCATAAAATCCCTGTTTTCCACAGGCCGTAGTAGATGATTCCCCTGTAGAAGAGATTCTTCATCTTGTAGCAATTCCCTTACACCTACCAAGCTGATTAGAATTGACAGCGCTTGCTTCGACTTACTAAACATCGAGGCTTCACGGCACAAAAGCTCCAATTCAGCACCGCTGAAACCCTCTGTGCTTTGTGCCACCCATTGCAGATCGACATCTGATGCGATAGGCGTGTCGCCCATCTTCAAATGTAAAAGCCTTAACCTATCTACTTGATTCATCAATCCTATTTGAATTTTTCTTTCGAATCGCCGTAACAAAGCTGGATCAATGTCTTGAATCCGATTTGTAGCAGCTAGAACCTAATCGAATATGTATCAATTAAGAGATACTGCTACGCAATTCATGAACCATGACTCGATCTGCGGTCGTAAGAGTGTTGAATTGGAGCAACAATTCTGCCATGAGCCTGCGTAGACTGTGATCGGACTCTGCTCCGTTTCTACTTATTCCAAGGGCGTCGATCTTTGTCCTGAAATCAAACAAGGAAATTTGCAAAGTACAATGCTGACCTCATCAAAGAACAGAACAGTCGGGGACTGGTTCTGCAAATGATTTCATCATGATCGTGAGAAACATTTGTGAGGAATACCTTTGCAAATTGAAAAATTCGTTTCAGAAGCCTTTCACTTTCTCCAATGTACTTCGAAAGAACGTTGCTTGTTGCTTGCTTTTCAGTTCACACAAATGATTTTTTTGTGAATCAACACCTCGGAGATAACGACATGAAATTGGCATTTGACTCTTTTGCAACTGCTTTTGCTAGCTCTGTTTTCCCGGTACCAGGTGGACCAAACAGAAGGATCCCTTTCCATGGTTGCCGCACTCCCTGAAATTTCAAGTTCATGATCATTTTATTTAGTACCGTGCAGACCAAAGAACATAACTTGCCTTGAACAGTTCGGGATATTTAGAAGGCTGTTCACAACGACATTATGAATGCAAGAGTGAAACCAGTGAGATACCAGAATGATACTCTCTTTCAACAACTGTTTGGCCGCTTCTAAACTGGCGACTTGAGCAAAGCTGGGCAATGCAGACTGATCAATGATGAAAGATGCCATATCGCTCCAATCTGTTCCTTCAAAAGTTTTTTCAATGTTGTCAGAAATGTTTTCATTGGAGTTTGATTGAGTTTGAGGAACGTCAATTGCCATGGTCTGTTTGTTGTCATATTTCGAGATGCAGTAATCCTGCATGTATTTTGCAAGCACTTCTGGAGAGACGAGCTTTGCAGCGCAAGAAATCAAGCCTGACGTGCATTTCTTGAAAGCATCAACAATCAAAGGATCCTCCTAGGGTATTGTGCTAAGATCAGGTGGCCAACAATCAGCATGATCTTACCCAACGCTCAGACTCTGAGCACTGGTGAAACGCTTGGAAACCAACGCACTGAAATCAAACATCCAAAAGTTATCCAAGAATCACGTAAAACATCTATCTGTACATGACTGACGAACTCACCGCCCATCTATATGAAGATTGCAAATCTTCTGCCAGAAGCATCTGATCGTATTTATCGATGTTTCCGAGGCTTTCGCGATCTCGATCTCGATCTCGATCTTGATCTCTGCTTCTGTCTCTTTTCCTGTCTCTCTTTTCAAAAATGATCCCGTCTCCATCATGAGATCGATAGTTTTCAATCCATTCAGCGCTCGTAACTGTCTCTATGTGTTCATCCATTAATTCTTCCGTTCGCCTCATACGCCATCTTCCCGCCATTTCGGAGCCACAAACTTTTGTTGTACCCTACCTCTGTGGAATACCGATGGTACCACCCCACGTTTCTACAAGGAAAGGACCCCCTCCCCCTATATGGTGCGCATACGAGATGTTTTAAGATCTTACTCAAAGTTAAGTTAAAAATCAGTACAAGGACAATCAGGAGAGTAGAGGCTTTGACGTTCATTCGTTGCTGTTTTTGTCGAGTATGAGCTCTGATCGTGGTAGAAAAACAACAAATTTCAGCATTTTGACTGAGTTTTGGCAATCCAACAAGCACTTGCACGCATTGGAACTGAACCGTATTCACGTTGGCGCACAAGCATTGACGTACGCCACAAACAAATGTGCAGCAAATTTCGCGACGTATAGGAGATTCACTGTCAATACACGTCAGATCAAGCATATTAGGCTATGGGGCGATACAAATCATGTTTTCTCAGACAAAAAGAACGACGGAATGTTCGATATCAGAACAATGATCAATGGGTGGAAATTCAAATCGAAACGCAAATATTAGAAACAAACTGTTTTGGATTTCATCAATTACCATAGAATCATCCTCGGACTACAAGGTACAAATGACATGGTCACTTGGTCACGTGAACGATTGAGTATGAACTCAACAGTCACAAAGGAAACAGACGAAAGGACTTTGCGATGATCGATAACCACATGGTGCGGGCAACGTTATACACCAACATTATATGCTTTTGTTTTTTTAACACAAGGATGGTGGACACAAAAGAGACAGTTTGGCTCCGATCAATAGTATACGTCGTCAGTTCGTCACAATTGACATCCACGTACTGTACGGTATGATGCGTGACGGGATGATTATTCAAGAATCATGGGACCTATTCCACTTCAATGTAGAAATAAGTGACGGATCTTCATGAGATTCCGAAAGGCCAGTGAAACAACAAGGACAATCTCGAACAATCGAGCAGGTAGAGACTCAGACAGTGATTGCTTTATATCGATTGATCCAGGGCGAATCGTTTTGAAATGCGGGGTCGAGGTTGCCGATTGACAAGAAAAGAGTCAGATAAAGAGATATCGTTTTACTCGCAAACAATACTACCATGAGTCGCATATTTCACTGAACCAGAAGAAGATTGAAGCTGAACTTCCCCGGTTGACACAAACGGCACTCCCCTCCCGCACCGTTCGAGCCCGATGAGCAATGGGTATACGTTGTTGTCCCGATCTATCAGAGCTCATAGGATAGCGAGCCCAACACAGGAGTGGTCAACACTCGAAATGTGGACAGCACACAAGGATAGCCTCTACAACTATCCAGACGAAAGACAGTGATTCTCTAACGGCTACTTTGGTTCAGAAGTCGGACCCCTCCGGGACGGTTTCCCTATCAAGCACCGGTGGAGCTCTCCTTTCTGGTAGAAACAAGAACAGGAGCAGCGCATGGACCAAAGGGGCCATAGCGACGGCACGAGGCAGGAAGACTCGTGCAAGCGAGGACCACTACCCCTGGGACTCCCACAGGGCTATAAAAGGATCAAGATCTTCATCTCTAGGTGGTCTGTCTTCCCTCCCTCTGTGTACCACGCATTTCACTGTGTTGGTGTGGTTGCTGCAATAAAGCTTGATAATACTGTCTAGCACCATCTGTGTGATCCAGCGGAGGTTCTTTGAGCATTCGCTTGGCTAGTGTGCAACCCGTAAAGCTTCGGGGTGTAACATAAATTGGTAGCGAAGGTTGGTTGGAGCAGGTTGGAGCAGGTCAGGTGTGCCGTCTCCATCGGAGTCCACCTTGCGGGGGCTCACGGACCATTTCTTGGATAGGTAGAGATTCACAGACACAAGATCTGCTGGATATACCCCTCGAAGAGGCTCCCGACCTCTAGATAGCCATCCCCCGTGGAGGCTGCCTGGGAGAGCTGGGTGCCATCCCCGGGCTTCCTGTCCACATACACCGTGCTGTACCCCAGTAAATCCCTGTACCCGCAGATGATCTGGTGGTTTGCCGTGAACTTCCGTTACAGCAAGAGGAAATGCCAACACGACACTGAGTGACCGTTCATACCGGCTAATTTCGATGGCCTATACTTCTATCACAGCAAGAGGAAATGGGGGATGGCAAGGATGACTACATTCACAAGAGGCAGGCTGTCGACCATTTCTTTGAAAAAATGAAGCGAAGAAGGAAGGGTTTGTCTGAACCAATAATCGCATACGGGGGGCATCTTTCAGTGCTAGTGGAAGGAATGAAAAGGCCGTACCTGTCAAATGGATCAAACAACGTTGCCGCAAAACTTTGAAGCGAGTTTTTGATGTTGATGAGAGACATACGACAGCAAACTGTCATCGATGTGGTACAAAACTACAAGATTTCAGACGCGTCCCGGTCCTCTGGGGTGGTGTATTTCATCTCAAGAGACGGGCCAGGTGAGAGGGTTGAAATGATGTGAGTCCACCAAATGTTTCAAAACTCGCTTTGTATCTCGTGACATCAATGCTGCACTGAATATTCTTTCTCGATACCAAGGGACAGAGAAAGAGACTTTCATGTGTGGACATCGTCACTGAACTTCCGGTGCTATACATTGTACGAGCACGCGCGATAAGGAGGACTTGAGTCAAAAGAGTTTTCCGAATAACCCCGTCGACATGTCAAAGATTTGTATTTCTGAAATCATTTTTCAAAATATTCATCGTTGTCGATTCAAGGTTGTAAAAGTCGCCTACGCGCCTCTACACTATCACGAGTTTAACCCTTCCACTGACGAACACTTGTTTTCAGATGGAATTTTTGTTTGTTTCAAACCGTAACTATCTTAACTCTTAATCTCTTCCTCGCCATTTGAAAGCGAAACCTCTTGTTCTTCTGTCTCGACATCGTCGTTGGACAATGTGATGATGTCTTCTGAAAGTATGGGCTGCTTGACAAGCTCTGGCCCTGCAGACTTGAAAACAAACTCCTGTCCAAAGATGCAATGTGAGCGCAAGAGCATGTGACGGAGCTCAGAGCGCACCGGGATCTCAATCGTGATAATGGTCGCTTCTTCTGTTCCACATACCAAGCTTCGCTTCGATTCATCATAACAAAAGCACCTTGAAGAGGAACCGCTAGTCAGCTGCACAGAAGGAAACAAAATAACGGAGCAAGAGAATGAGGGCACGTGATGTCGTTGTCTTCGTGTTTGATCTGCCAGAGAACTTCTGCTTTAGTGTAGTTCCAAAGTTTCAACTCGTTGTCCACAGACAGGGAGACCAGGAAGCCCTCAGTTTCCATGATGAGCATCTTGCGAATCGAGTCTGAGTGTCCATTGCTTGACTCGCCCAGCACTCTGCAAGCGATTCACTTTGGCTGCAGAGCAGGCGAGAAAGAGAACCTGATCAGCAGATTCCCTGACATGTCCCAAATCTTGATCGAATGGTCGTCTGAGCCCGTGAAGAGAAAGTTCCCGTCTATGGCCATGCACCTTCATCAGCATCGTGAGGCATAAAGTGCATAAATATCCCAACAGCAAGTGCATACGAGATAGAATCTCTATGGCACAGATGCTTGACATCAATGCTTTCATACGAATCGAGCTGTTCGCTAGAGTTGAGCGCTTGATAATCAACAACAGACGTACCATGCAGGCAAGCTCAAGCTCTTGCCGATCGCTCACATGCCATACTTTAATCGTGAGATCATTGCCGGCAGAGGCAAGCAAGCCCTGAGGATATTTGTGCGGGTTGACGAAGGCAGGCATGTATGCGCAGCAGAGAACTTCGGAGGTGTGAGCCTTGGTCTTGCCAACTGCGGCATGCAGGTAAACTCAAGATGGTCCCAATGAGTCAGAGGGGCATCACGAGGGGATTACCTTGAATGAGTTTCTTCACGGATAGCTCCGAGCTCGACGCTTTCGCTTTCGCTTTCTCAATCTCATCCGCAGTGAACAGCAGGGACTTGGACTTGACGTTTTGAACTTCCCAGGTGAGGACCTGATGCGCAATAGGGTTCACAAAGAGCAGTAGCACCGATCACTTACATCTCCATCAAATCCACAGGAGAAGAGAAAGTCTCGTCCAGAAGGATCGCTCTGCTCACCGTCAGTTGGCAACAACTACAAGACTCGGCTGATCTCGCCTGTGTTTTCCCCGTCCAGGCCGATGTTATCGCCGTGACGGAGTTGGAGTGACCAGGAGTGAAGGAATGCTGACCGTTGTCAAGATTCCAGATCCTCAAACTGCCATCGTCGTTTCCTGCCAGGTCCAAGGATTACACAACGAGTTGTGATAATGAGGTCAACATTTCGAGTGCAAAACTCTCTTGGTTCACCTGTTACGAGGCTCCCGATCCTTTCAATGATGGCAAAAGCAGAGATTTCCGTCTTTCTTGTTTCTCTGACCATATTGCTGCAGAGACACGTAAACGCAAAACTTCTTCGCGCATTCAAATCACTCACTTGCACTGCATGTTGATGGGATCCCAAACGCGTATCGTGTTGTCAAGTGCGCATGAGTGCAAGACATTATTTTGACCATAAATGTTGTCCTGAAATACTGGTGAGATCTGCAAAGGATGAGGAGATCTCTGCACTTTGCCAGGAGGTAAGTATCCAATACCGATCAGTGGCCCCTCGTGACCCTTCAGAGACACATGTTTGATTCCCCTTGCGATGTAGAAGGATTCAACTTTGGATGGGCCTTGCACATAGATCTGATCTTATGCGTCACTCTTAGATCCAACGATCATCTGTCTGACCTCTGATCCCGACGGAGTGCAGTAAATGTTCAATATGGGCTCGGAGGTGATCTTGAAGCAAGCGAATCAGTCACTCATACATATGGGGTTCTCGCAAACCTGCTCCATGTAGATCTTGTTTTCCGAAATCCAGTTCCAGATGTGCAGGATTCCCAAATCATCTCCCAGCATGATGTCCTATAGCAAAATAACATGTCAGAGCAGATTGACAAGTATGGACGTGGCACATCCGATACCTGTGTAGCTGTATTCACGCAGATACAGTTAAATCGCATCATTTTGTTCTCCACCCCATATCCGATTCTGTTTTCTTCCTTGAACGACTGCGACTCCATGTAAGCTCTTACAACATACAGACTCTTTACCTTGCGAGGTGTGCCTGAAGCGATCTCCCAAACCTTGATAGTCGTGTCGTTGCTGATACTAAACAAAACGCCTTCGTGGATCTCTGCTACGAGAGCAAGGATGCCGAGCTGAAACCGGACTCATCGAAACGAAAGAGAGACTATAAGACCCAACCTGATGTCCCACCTTCTTGTTATGAAACTTGCTAGGGTTGCTATCTACAATCCCATCCTGAGCTTCAGAGTCGAACTTCAGTTTCCTGATCTCTCCCTCACTGTCTCCGATGTACAACTCTCCCTGGTTCATCCTCGTGGACACGAAGAGAAGAGTGTTAGGCCAGATCTTCATATCCAACACCCGCATTTTGACGTAGAACGGGTACAACATCATCTCCCGCCCATCCGCGTTCTTCCATACAATCAAAGTCTTGTCTGTGCTCCCGCTGATCATCAGCCCCGGCGAGTTTCCTGTCTCTGCATGTTCAGGAGCGTCGAGCGGTGAGAGGGAGCATCTCACCTATCTGAGCAGCGAAGGCGATGTCAGTGACGGTGCCACCATGCCCTGTGAACGTTTGTCGCAAGACTGCCTGCCTCTCGTTCTCAAAGATATCCCACAGCTTGATGGTGCGGTCTGCGGATCCTGTATACAGGTAGTCTGTCTTGGGCTGCATCTTCAGCACGGTGACATGCGCCTTGTGGAACACGTTGGTCATCTCCGAGCTTCGCTGGTCGTCTCTCTTCGGCCACCATGGCTTGATCGCTTCCACCCCGTTGCTGCTCAAGTCCTTAGTCTCGAACACCGACCGTTGCTTCCGCCATATGTGGATGGAGCCCGAGGTATGCCCGCAGATCAAGGCGCTCCTGTATGGCTTGTTCTCGAACTGCAGGCACAGCATGGATGTGAAGCCGGCATGCTGACTCCTGCCATGATCCTTCTGCCCTGGTCCTGACGACCTCTTGCCCAACTTCTCCCAGACGTTGGTCGACGACCCCGCGAACCTCTCGAGGTCATACACGTTGATCGGCCGGAGCTCCATCTCCTCTCCTCCGTCTTAGCGTCTCATCGCCAACTCTCGCAAGCGTCGCAAGCACATGCTGCCTTCTGTGCCTGCCCTGCTTGAACACATTTTTCCCTGGCGTTTTTTCAGTCAACGCAACAGCTCGGCAGCTATGCAGGAGGAGGAGTCGCGGAGGATCGACGGGTCGGGGCACGTGGACGACGGGATCCACCTGCTTGAGAGCGCGGGGACAACCCGATCGCCGCATGCTGAGCTGAGTGAGGACGAGCTTGACATGGAGGACATGGAGGACCCGGAGGGAACCATCACCGAGCTGATGGAGCGACTAAATCAAGGTGCGTAGGAGGCGTCGGTTCCTTCCATGCTCTTGTGCCTTGTACCTCTCACGAACTTGCGATGCGATCAAGAATTTGTGACATGTGCTGCTCATGCTTGCCGTCTTTGCTGTTTTGGTGACGCTTGCTGCTTTTTGACGTTCGGGTTTGTTGCAACAGTGATGTCTGCTCTGAGTGAGACGGAGGAGGAGAACGCAAGGCTTCAGGATGAGATCCAACACCTTCTCGACGAGCAAGATGAGCAGCAGGAGCTTCGAACAGAACTGGGCGAGCAGCTTCTTGAACGAAGAGACCTCATGGCCAAGATTGCTGCTCAGGCTCGAGCGGACAACGACGACAGCGAAGGCTTCTTGAAGCGCATGAAGGAGCTGATGGAAGAATCAGACAGAGAGAAGCAAGACTTCAAGCAGCAGATGGAACGTCTAGACCAGCAGCTCGCAGAGCTCACGGACGATGAAAGCGGCGGGATGGGTGCGAAATGAGCTTGTAGTCTTTTCTCTGTCAGGTTGTTTTTTCCCCATTTACATAGACAAAAGACGTTTGAAGGAAGTTATGGTATCAGTTTGTCTGACTCTTTCGGCGGCTCATCGTTGTCCGCCGCTTCCAGCACCTGTCCATCTGTTATGTTTGTACGAGAGATTCAAAGACCCTTCACCTCCTGGGCAATGCTGCTGGCGTACCAGACAGCAATCATAATCCCAACGATGGCGATGCCAGTCCCGATGAAGTGATAGATATTCGTCCCCTGTGAGGTATTAGCAAAGGCGGAAAACAGCCCAACTACTGCACCCCGGGATCAGCAGCTTCCAAAAGCGCTTCACCAATCAACAAGTTCAAAATCGTGTTTGGGATCATCCCCTGCCGCACAAATCATTCCGACCCCAGCCCCTGTCGTGCGGGATACCAGCATGAAAAAGAAGACAAATTGCTCAAACGGAACTGTTGTGAGAGAGAAGAGATAAGGGTGTGAACCATATGGGACTGGCATGAAGCAAAGCAGAAGGTTAATCTTTGCGGCCTTGCAATGACAATGTCAAAATATCTCCCGCCAGTGAGAGCAAGATTTACCTCCTTCCAATCTTGCCCCATATACTTCATCAAACCCTTCCATACATGTGCTCCATCCGATTTGGAAATGAGATCGTTCACCTGACAGAAGCCAACTCAGTAAACACCTCCATCGAACCGACAAGACTGACGTAGTCCTTGAAGAGGTAGCGACCAATCACAAACAAAACCGCTGAGGAGATGAAGATTGCAAACATTTGAATGAGAAATCCCCAGCCAAGTCCGAAAATGAAACCGATGGCAATACAGAAAGGCCCATAGGGGATGAAAACCAGCGCGCAAGCAATGAAAACGAGGTAGTAGACAACCAAACTCCACGGCAACTCTTCCCTAAAAAAATCCTTTCCTTGTATGATGGCATTGAAGATCTGATTTCCAAAGTACCACCCCTTTTACGAACAACAATGTGAGTTACTGGATATATCCAAGAAAATCCTTACCAAACAAATAATTATCACGATCACTGAGATTGCAATCCAAAGGTCTGGATTTGTGAGAGAGAACATTGACTTCCACTTGTCCTTCTGCGTCTTTTTCTTATCATCCTCGGGATCATTGACACTCGCGGGAGAGGTGTTTGCAGCTGGCTCAGACACTCCCATTGTATAGGCGAACTAAGCACTGATCAAAGATCAAAGACCCCAGACAAGCTGCCTGTGCAAATCCTGACGTGCAGGGAAAACGTAAGAAAGCATCAAACAAAGGAAGATGATGTTTGGACAATCCACCAGAGTCAAGCTGATGAATTGACATGCCAAGCCCCTCATCTCCTTCAAAATCATTCGCCTCTTCTCGTTTATGATCCTCTAATCCATCACCTCTTTCTTGTCCATTCTTTCCACTGTCCCCTTTCCTCCCTGACGTGACAATGTATCATCCCATCCCATCCCATCCTATTCTATCCCAGTCCACATCCACATCCGGATCCCATCTCGTCTTGTCCCGTCTTGCACCATTTCATCTCACCTCATCTCATCTCATCTCATCTCATCTCATCTCATCTCATCTCATCTCATCTCATCTCTTTTCTTCTCTTCCTCTCTCCTCTAAATCTTCTCATCCCATCCCTGCCATGCCGCCATGGTCTATATCTGGCTTTTCACATCTTTACCTGACACCTCGCGGATACTCTTACGGATACCTTCACGGATACTCTCATTCATTTTCCGTTTCATGTTTGTAACGGCAAAGTCGGAAATAGCGCCATGTTCGCAGAGTTGTTCAACGCGTTCACGGATGATGAGCAGCCGAAGAAGAAAGTGATCGCTCATCTCCCCAACTTCTCTGAAGCCGTTTCAAATCCACAGCTAGCCGTTGTGAGTACTCTTGCCTTGCGACTCTTGTGCACCTGCTTCTTCCTTGCTTGCTGCTTTACTGACTTTTCGTTCAAGAAATGGGTGTTGTCGAAGGAAGCGAAAAAGAAAGCTGCATGGTGGAAGGAACACGCGAAACTGAAAGCAGCATCAAGTGTTCCCTGTGATACGCTTTGTGAGATAATTCGAAATCAATGAACATTGTACATTTGGATGGGGCTTGTTGAAAATTGCAGCTACTATGATCAGATTTGAGATGATTTCGGGTCATCAAAAACAGAATGGTCAAGCTTGATCTCATTCATAATGATGAACCCTCTGCGTCTTATTTTATCACAAAATCTGATTTTCGTGTACAGCTCCCTAGATCCTGCGCTAACGATGGAACTCTAAACAAATTTGATTGCAAGGGTTGGAAGGTAGATGGAACTGAAGGTGACTGACCGCAAGCTTTCGTTTAACATGAAACGTTTTGCGCATCTTGTTCAAAACTCCTTGGCAAGGTACCACCAATAATCCATTCTCGGATTACCTGGATTAGGTCCAGCTTGAAAATGTGAGAACGAAAACGCATACTGTGGTGGTCAAAACCAACTTTTTCATGCAATGGTCTTCCAAAGCGAGACCAACTTTGCATTAGGCTTATCTATTTTGACAACTCTCCGAACAAGCAGCTGCTGTTACCTCTCCTCAATTGCACTGAACTTTGTTGTAACCTCTCCTTGATACGGTACGCGCCGTTGCCAAAGTTCTCCTCTGGTAGACTTGCAATGCCTTTCTCACCTCACAATCCACCACGGTGATATCAAGCTGCACTGGCAGAGCGGTAGACAGTCAATATGTCATGTGTTTGTCGTCATTGTATGCTTGTTGTTTCAACCATTTCACACCACTGGACACTGCCGCAGTGCCCGCCATCCCGAGTCCGATGATCGATGGAGGCCGGGCTATCACTGATCCGATGATCAGATGACTGAACAGGCACAGACGGTCACACGTCGAACAGACGGTCACAGTGAGTGATCAAGTGATCAAGTGATGCATCACTAGTTGATCACTGACTCAAAGGCTTCAGTTCGGCTCGATGATGACCGGCAAGCCTGATCGCAACGACGGCATCAGTTGTACTACCTAATAACGGTTAATAACGGCCGGAAGCCCCCAAAGAGCGGATGAGTCGCATGGAGTGGTGCTAGGGGGGGTCCGGGGACACAAGAAGAGGAAGAGAAGAGGAAGGAGGAGAGGGAGAGGCAAGTCAGAGATCGTCTGAAGATAGAAGAAACCAGGAGAAGGAGAAGCTCGGTGATAAGAGGAGGCCATTATCGACAGAAGACGTTGCAAGATAACGCTGACAACTGCTCGGCAAGTAAAAGAGAAAAAGTGACACAGCTGCGAAATAAGAGAGCGACCAGAAGCGTAAATGAAAGAAAACCAACACGGTACAATGGATCAAGATCCCTGGGAAACAATTGCTGTCATTGGCCTAGGTCGACTGGGTGTATGTTTCTCAGTTGTCCTCGATGAAGCTGGATACGATGTCATTGGGATGGACGTGAATGAATCTATCGTGAACTCTGTAAACAGCAGAAAGAACGATTCATCGGAGCCGGGATTATCTGAAGCTCTCTTGAGATGCCGAAAGTTTCGGGCCACGACAGATATGTCCGAGGCTGTACAGAACGCCAGAGTCATATTCATCCTGGTTCCCACCCCAAACTCTGGTGGTAGAGATTTCTACAATCACAGCATACTGAGCAATGTACTCTTCAAGCTCAACACGCTCAAGGTCGCCCATCGACACATCGTGATATCAGCAACGGTGCTGCCTGGGTATATCCGATCGACTGGGAATTTCCTGATACGAGATTGCCCAAACACGACGCTGAGCTACAATCCTGCCTTTGTAGCACAGGGAGATATCCTCGAGGGATACAAAACAGGCGGATGGTTTCGGCTTGTGATGATCGGACGAGCAAACGAAGAGGTCGGGAGGATCTTGACGCGCGTGTACGAACGCATCGCCCCGGCAGACCGACGTCCACACATCTGCCTCATGTCGCCAGAAAGCGCTGAAATAGCTAAGCTCTGCTCCAACTGCTTCCGCACGACCAAGATCAGCTTCTGCAACATGGTCGCGGATCTGGCAGACAAGACTCCTGGGGCAGACAAGCACGAGATCTGCGCGGCGTTGGGTAAGGTGAACGTAAGCCGGGTATGTGCGAGTGAGTGACCTGGGAACTAGGACGAGAGCATCGGGCCGATATGCATGCGGCCAGGCTATGGTTATGGAGGACCCTGTTACCCTCGCGACAATCAGGCGCTGGCTCTATACGCGAAGCAGGTAGATGCCAGCGATGACGTAAGCAGAGGGCTGACATTCGTGCGAGGTCGGGGTGAATCCATGCATTCCAGAGGCTACACACAACTACAACGAGTAGGCCATCATTTCACGTTCGTTCGTCTGAATCTCCGCCAGGTTCCATCACGACATCATGGCGGAAGAATGCTTGCGAGAGGGAAGAGAAGAGTGATATCGCAGTTCTTCCCCTGCCCTTGCCTCACAACATGCTTGAGCAGATACGTATTTGAGGATGTTACATACAAGCCTAGGTGTGCAGTGGCGATGATCGATGAATCGCCAAAGCTCCGTGTGGTAACTCAGTCCTCTCCTCCTTCCCATCTCTTCCTCGTTGACCACGAATCTTCAGGCATATGCGCTGGTGAAAGCAGGAAAACGCGTCATCATCCGAGACCGGCAAGCGGTGCGTCTCTTGCCGAGACTTGCAGGGTCTGAGAGACATTTAGGTCATCTTCGAAGTCATGAAGGAATTTGGGTCAAAGTTCGTGTACGAGATCGTGGATGAAGACGGCATCCCCGCCCGTCCTGCTTCTCCGTCCTCGTCTGCGGCTCAGGCAATAGTCGCTGGTATGAGGGCCTGCGGCTTCTGACTTGGTTGTCAGCTCTCGGCTGAGTGCGCCAAGGAGGGAGAAGCTCATTTGCTGTTCGTGGCCGAATCTTCGAGCAATGGCGTCTACTGACGACTGGTAAGCGGAACTCGAGACGTCTGCTGTTGATGCAAGTGACTTGCATGCCTCGTGCAGCCTCGTGCCAACTCTCTTCGACCTTTGTCTACGTCTCCTCCCTTTAACTTCTTAACGGAGAATTGCTCGGACGAGGGAGGACGCGGTAGCGTCGCTGAACTCGTGGAAGCTCTTCCCGCATGATGTCCACCTGCATTAATTTACAACCTTTCCCTCAGCTCGAATGAACAATACGCACAAGATAGGCAAATCTGTCTCCTCCGAAAAGTCCAGCAGCCTTCCAGCAGCTTCCAAGCGTCTCTGCCCTTATAGTGAGCCTCTTCAAGAATGTTTCGTGCCTCTCACGTCCAACTTCGTTCCCATGATGCCTCGCATGATCGTTCGCCGAGTTGTCCCTATTGGAGAATCTTCGATTGTTAACCGGTCGGCAAATCAGAGGGAGGAGCAGACATGAAGAAAGAGGTCGTGAAGTGCAGACCTGAAGGCGGGGAAGGGACTTGCAAGCTCTCCCAGGATGAAGCGTGGGCGATGGAGACATTGAGCTCTACCTGAAACATCTCCCGTACCTTTGAAGCTCTCAGTCGCAGCGAGTTCGAGGTGGTTCCTGACCTCTGCCAGCTGAGCGCGCGTTCCTTCCGCTACAATCTTGCCTCCCGTTTCCATCGCCTCCGACTCCAAACTTATCGTCGCTCCACTTACTTTCATCGCCTCTCTGCCATTTGTGTGAACAGAAGCGTGTGCAAAGAAATCGCTCCTGACCTGAGGAAACTGGACTTTCCCAGCAGCAGTCTAAACTCGCTTGTTGACAACTGCGTCTCGCTCTTGACTTCGCTCATCTCCATCTCCATCATCCTCGTGAACACTGCACGAGGAGCATCGCTCCACTTGTACTCTCGGATATATTTGTCGAACTCCAAGTAGTCGGTAAGGTCTCCTTCAACCAGATCAGGTCGCCTGGGGAACTCTTCTACCTCCCACCTGATGATGCATCGACGACGTAAAGCAAGAGGTCCACACCAACACAATCGATCATGTTCAAAATCTCTTGGTGATCCTGGTTGATCATTGTCATTGACCGACTATCATTTCCTGCGATCGTTACGAATTCTCCGCATTCCTTGAAGCCGCGCGCGTCGAAGACGAGGACGTCGCTGTCTGCCTCTTAAATTTAGAAGATGAGACAACATGGCAACCTTGACCTTGCTTGTACGCTGCTCTCCTCATCAATGACGCTGCTTCCAGCAGACTCAAGTCTTCCTCCTCCTCATACACTCAAAACACTCTCAGAATGTCAGACTTCTACGTACCATAGCAAGCGTATCGATCACATCTAATCCCATCTCGCTGGCTAGAGAACTAATTCTGTTGAAAGTAAGAGAAGCCAGGCGACGAGTAGCCGATACATGAACGCAGAGTCTTCAGCAGTGAAGTCGAGAGTGGATAAGCTTGGGTTCAACCCCGCTTTTCCTTGAAGCCAGTTCCCCAGGTTTGCGACATGCGTGCTCTTACCAGTGTCGCCTTTGCCGATGAGAGCGATGGTGAAGGGACCTGGATGAGTCAGCTTGGTCATTCGATCGAGGACATGATTCCTGGAATCAGCTCATCACCTGGGAAGGAGGCTCGGGTCGACTTGATGTCACTCAAGATGTCTTGTGCTGTCTTGCTACGGGATGGGGTGGAGGACAAAATCCTCGTTAGACTTCGCTCGACTGATGAATCGACTGGAAACTACTTACGCACAACATAGGATACCAAAGTGAACCTTCAGCTCGAAGTTCAGCCAGCTTGTTGAAAGTTTTTCCCACCAGATTCTTCTGCAGACCTTCGCCTACCATGCAGCCATCAGTGAAACTTTGGACTACCTCGTGCTCACATATGTCCTCCGTGAGAACGGGGCTCAGTGCTCGCTGTCTAATTCCATCTCGGAAATCTTGAAGGGGTCCAGACAGCATCTCTAGAGAGACCTTTCCGGCATACAGCACGCTCTTGAAGGCATCGGTGAGATCAGGATTCTTCTCTTCTAGATGTTTCATCCTCCTTGGGTATCTTCGGTCCTCCTGACGATCCTTCTCCCAGCTACCCTCCACTTCGGCTTCGAGCCCGCTTGTCAACTTCTTGACATGACTCACATGCCAACAGGAATACTCCTCCAGTGATGGAATTCCCTCAGCTCTCCTGTTTCAAGGCATCAGGGAGCCTGAGAGCATTGCCAACAGGCTGACCTTGGGCTCGCTTGGAAGTGAAGGTACTGCTCGATTGCCTCTAGTGTAATCTTCCAAACATCCATCAAGAAGCCCAGGACCTTGCCAGAAAAATAAATATTAGGAATCACGAATAGACAACAGGAGCGGCGGTTCAACACATGGTACAGACCGATATTAGCCAAGGAGGCATTCCACGTACAATGAGGAATTCTACAACACGTATCTGATACGATTCAATGTCAAGAAGCGATGGCAAGAATGCATCTTGATGCACGAAACCTTCAAAGAAACAATCAATCTTGTCATGTACGTAAACATTCGTTTGATAAGGAATCTATATCGGATCCCTGGAGTGCTCGTTACACTTTTGTAAGCATCATTCAAATCAAAACCGGCCCTCCTAAAGAATTGTAGCACAGAGAGCAGACGGGAGCGAGTGCCTCCAGACGATGGTTCGTCTGCTACACAACTGTCCATGCTTTCACCGCCTCTGACCCTCCTCCCCGGCAGCTGTGATGTCCCTCTCCTGAGCAAGGCGCGCAGCAAGGTGCTGTCAGGAGCAGGCGAGTGAAGGAGGTTGGCAGAGCCATAGCCAGCACATGGTAGCAGTTCCTTCTTTCCCTCCGCATGTGAAGCGCTTCCATGCTCAGCTCCTCCCGCTGCTCTCGTCGCCATCAGCAGGATGAGCACCCCAGCCCTGAGAGCCATTGGGCGCATCGTACTCGAGTCAGTCAACCCTGGAGCCGGGAGTCCCCGGCCGGGCCGCCGCCGGATCCCGGCCGCGCCGGGCGGCCGGGACCGGCGGACCGCGGCATCATGCGGCGGCGGGCATCACTGTGACGGCGCCGGGTACTGAGTACGATGGTAATGAGCGTCGTAATGCATATCATTGCACAGCACGTCCCGCCGCATTGAAAGGCCTTGTGGTCCTTCGCTGACGGGCGGGGGGCCGGGCGGCGGGCCACAGCCGCCTTACGCGCAGTTAACTGAGTGAAGGTATCAGTTAAGTGTCAGCCGGCCTCCTCGGGACTGGGAGTCGACTCTGGGGGCTCAGCGGCTGATCATCGGATTGTCTTCGTACTGATCTTTAACTTAACTTTGAGTAAACTGAGGAGCGTCCCCGAATCCGAGTGTGCCGCGGCCCGGTACTACGGTGCCGGGGTGTCGCCGGGGACCCAACATGTACGATTGATGAGTAAAGATTGAGTGACCTCCCATTGGAGCTGGGAACCGAACGTTCAAGTTTGGTCTCCCCTGGACCCCACCCACCCGCACGCGCCATCGCTCCATTCCCGAAATACCACCCCTGCCTACAGCTGTCCAATGAGTTTACCACCCCCACCAGTCGATGTTCCGCTCAACGTCGGGAAATTCAACCCGTCCTTGGAGCTGCTGATCTACCACCCCACCCACCAACTTCTGCTTGTTTCCTTTCATCCCACCCCACCTCATCTTCCTCACCCACGAACCCTACCAAGATAAAACACCCACCCTGCCTTCCTTCCACGATCCTTCCTACCGAGCTTTGCTCTCCACGCCCTAGTCTCCTCCTACTCCTACCAACCCTCCTGTCCTAGCTCTCTCTTTCAGTCGAGTTCCTTTCGTCAGTCGGCTTCTGAGACATGCCTCCCTCACCTGCCCTGTTCAAGAAGATGCTCCATCGAAGGGATCCTGAATCACTCAATGAATGCCTGAAAATGCTGGAGAAAATGATGACCAGCACACCTAGACAAAGGTTGAACAAATCAATGCTTGCCATGGAGTCAGCTGCGATCATGGATACATTGAGCTCGATGAAATCTCAGATTGAAAGCATGGAGATATTGCAGTGGGCAAAGCAGTGTCAAATCGGGAAGAAACGAAGGGAAGAGTTCGAAAATGAGATTCACAGAAAGTTAGATGAGCATAGTCCAAAACAAGATGACGATGACAAAGTCTTGAAAACCTGCTTGAACAATCTCAACTTGATCATCATGGGTTTGAAGTTCGAAGATGCAACTCTCATTAAGAAAGCAATGTTTGTTCCAAATTGGATTTTTCGAAGCAACTCAAAGCTTGCAATCTGGCTAGAGCATGGATGGTTATCTGCATTTGTTGAAGAAGTGTGGCCTATTATCTTGCAGGAGGACGATGACCGCGTCACGCAAGATTTTGAGGAACTTTTCATGGAGATGATTCAGAAAGGAAGCAAGCTTTTCTCAGATTCGCAAAGGAAAAAAGAGATCAGTAAGCTTCAAAGGAACATCTCTCAGTTCTTGGTTGCAATCTTCGACATACAATACTTACGAGACAGCCGTCGAAGCAAGCGTTGTATGGATTTGTTGAGAAAGTTCAAAGTCGAACCAATCATGACAGGCAATTTTCAAAAGTTGCTGTTGCCATTGTGTGGAAAGGTGCTTGATCGGATGAATATGGACATGATATCCGAGTTGTCAGCCCTGGTAAATTGGGCTGAGATTCTGTCTGCTGGTTCTCTTCAAGCAATCCTTGGTAAAGATGTCACACCGCTTGGCTTTGTCTGTCAAAGACAACCTCCGAGAGACAGGATCGAAATTGATGCTGTCTGCAATTCAAGCATGAATGTATTTTCACACAGATTATGCTCGTTTGATTTGAAGGTATTCCTGCAAAGAAAAGATAACAAGCTTGTCTGCGATTTGAAAATTGTTGCTTCATCTTCAATGTCCAGTTTCTTATCTAATGGCGAAAGGCTTACAGTTCATGTCACAGTCGACTCGGTCAAGAAGACTGCTGTCATGTTTGAGAACAACAATTCATCTTCTTCATTGTGCTTTTCTGCGTCAGGCAAGGGAGTCCATCTCGTTATTGAAATTGATAGTGTGCTCTTGCGGGAGGGCAGGGTGCTTCAAACTATCGAGCAGTGGCGTCAGGATCAAGCATCTGTGATTAGATTTCTTTTGGACAAAGGAGCAGACAAAAACATATCTCATGTCAAGCATAAAACTATTCACGCCATCGCGGTCGAACACGGGGTATCCCCTTCCATCTGCAAACTCCTAATCCCTTCTGATGTGGAATGTTCTCTGACCAATGCTCTAAAAAGATTTCCTGTCGCTCAGAGGGAAGTGATGGAACTGGTTGAAGCTTTACCTGCTCAGACAGGAACTTTCTTTGACGTCAAGAAACTACTGAATGATCCAGACATTGACGATTCTTACCTGTCCAATCTACTTCCTGTATTGCTCTTCCGATGCAGGAACAAAGAAACTCATTTTCGTTGTGTCGTTGAGACAGAGAAAATTGGCTCGTGGAATGTTCTTCAACTTGTGCTTGACAACGTGATGGAAGGCGTAGATCTCACAACCATTCCGCTTCATGGAGTAATCAGCTCGGGCAACAATGACTTGCTCGCACGTTTGCTCAAGACAAAAGCAGATCCTAATCTCAAAACCGGAGAGTATGAGTCGACAGCGTTACATACCGCAGTGAGGCACAAGGATGTCACAGCCATTAAGCTTCTCCTGAATGCAGGTGCTGAGTGCAACGCAAGATCTCTCACAGGAACTGTGTTACATCTTCTGTGCGACCAAAAGTGCGATGAACAAGTGTTGGCGATCGGAACGCTTCTGATAAATCATGGATCAGACCCCACGTTGCCGAACAACAAAGGAAAGAGTGCCATTCAAACGTGCCGCTCGGGTAAACTGAAAGAATTGTACCAGACGAATAAGAAATTGCAACCATGCTCACCAAACAAATCGGTGACAGGAAGCCCCGTCCTGAAAAAGACTCCAAGGTCAAAAGCTGCGATGATGGACAACAGCTGCGCTCATGAGGTGTCCTCGTCTGATGCTTGCATCACTGGAAAAGTTGATACTGGAAAGTGTCAAAGTGTTGAGCGCGCAAAGACCACTAAGGCATCCAAGCAGGCGAGCAATGCTTGCGATGATTCAGATTCTTTGATCTCGCTGCAGCAAGCGATCAGAGAACGTCTCAAGATGCTTTTGGATGGAATGGAGATGACGGTGAATGAGGAATGTTCTTCTTTGAATGCTCAGGCAAAGATTCCATCAGCAGAAGAAAATCGAGACATGAAAACTGAACGGCCTCAGCGGACGCGTGTTGCTAAACGATTGCAATTCGTTGAAGAGAACCCCTTGGATGGTGCGGGAGAGCAAATGGCTCCGAGTGCTGAGCAGGAGGGCTCTCAATCCGACAAGCTCGAGGAGATGGACCGCCCGCTGGCTCTCAGAGGCGACGAATGCTGTACGGTCCAAGGCTTCACTGCTAAAGAGCTTTCCTCGAGCGCGTGGGACCTTCGTTTCACACGAGAGTTCAAAGATCAATTATTCCAACTGTACAAGGACCCTAAGCTTCTCAGCTCAATCGTGAGCAAACTGAAGAGGCTCGCCAACGGGGAACAAGGAAGAAGTCTGATGAAGTGCCTCAAAGGAACTCCAAAGCACCTCAAGATCTTCGAGACTCCTTGCGTTTCCTTCAATGACAGCGGCCGATTCCTCTGGCAGTATGCTGTTGACTACTCTCCTCGAATTCAAGGCTTCACTGACACCATTCGGCTCTGGCGTATCTGTCTCGATCACGATGACGTGCCGAGAGGCATCCGATTCATCGTTGACGCGCACAAGAAGGGAAGACAGAGTGTGATGGAGAAGCAGCTCGTGCCTTGCTGGGAAGGAACCAGTACTTTTCAGAAGGACGGGACAAGGATTCCTCGTCAGTACCGCCCATGTGAGCATGTCGATCTCGTCGAGCTGCGCAAGGAGGAAGACAGGAGGTTTACACTGATGGTGGATTCAGAGGAGGATGTTGATGAGGAGTATGTCAACCTCATCTACACTCCTCCAGCTGTGAGCTCTGCTGAAAGTTTGAACGTCCTCAAGTTCTACGCCTTGAACGAGCATGTCATTCGAAGTCTGCATTCCTTCGAGAACAGGAGCGACGAGGAGACAGCCGTGGTCCCTCCCGAGTTTCCTTTCATCCCCGATGACCGTGAAGACAAGATTATCAATCTCCGCGAGGACGAAGTTGTCAATAGGAAAGTTTCCACGAGCAAGAGATCAACGATTCTGGTTGGAAGAGCAGGAACGGGCAAAACGTCAATAGCAATCAATCGGATGTGGAGAATGTATTCGTGCCTGAGCTGCAATCCTTCAAAGACCGAGGAGTACAACCAGATATTTGTCACTGCAAATCGAGTGCTTCGACATCAAGTGAGAAAATCATTCAGCTGTATGAAAGGAATTCCAGAAGGCTCCAACTCAAGCTCTTTCACCTACTCTGCTTCCTTGTGGAGCACAACAAACGAGATGTTCCCGCTCTTCCTCACTCAGTGTGAGTGGCTGCAGATGCTTGATGCGACGTTGAGCAGACCCTTCTGGCCGAGGAAGGCCGATGGAAGCCTGCTCTTCCAAGACGTGAGCCGGTTCCATGAAGAGGATGGCATGCTCGACTCGCTGCCGGACGAGGAGGAGGTCGACTATCTCGAGGATAACAGCGACGAGGAGCCAGGGAGTCTCGCAGAGGATACGACCGACTCGCCTTCTGCTTCGATGGCTCCCATGCGCGAAGAAGTTGACTTCACTTTCTTTTTGCACAACTTTTGGCCAGTGATGGTCAAATCAGGAAAGTGCAAGAACCTCTCGCCCACCAGCATCTTCCAAGAGATTCACTCGTACATCAAGGGATCATACAAGGCGCTTGTGACTCAGCAAGGGTTTCTCTCTCGAGCGGAGTACCTGCAGCTGCCCTGGAAGATGGCGCCAAACTTCAACGGGCTGAGGGCCGAGGAGGATGAGATAGACCTGCCGGGCGACAAGTTTGGGACCAGAGACCTGATCTACGACATGTTTGAAATCTACCAGACAGAGAAATCAAAACTTGGAGCGTACGACATTGCAGATGTGACGCATTACATCTATCACAACTACGATTTCAGTTCCCCCAATCGCAAGAGAATTCACAGTATTTACATTGACGAGGCGCAAGATTTCACACAAGCAGAGCTTGCTTTGCTCGTTCGGATATGTGAAGACAAGAATGACATGTTCTTCAGCGGCGACACTTGTCAAACCATCGCCACAGGAATCGGATTCCGTTTCGAAGATCTGAAAAGCCTTTTCAAGTTTGCGCAAGACAAGCAGCCGAGCATTGAAATCCCGGAAGTCAGCACGCTCAACGTCAACTACAGGACCCACAACGGCATCCTCGCCGTCGCATCCAGCATAGTGCACCTTCTTGAACGACTCTTTCCTGCCTTCATTGACTCGCTGCCGGAGGAGAAAGGATTCTTCCAGGGGCCAAAGCCGATGATGTTGTTGGGCACAGGCATCGATGACATCGCGTTGCTGGTCCTCGGGTCAGACAGGAAACAGTCGCAGATCGAGTTCGGAGCCCACCAAGTCATCCTCCTTCGCTCTCAAGAGGCCAAGGACGAGCTGCCTGAGTTCTTGAAGCAATGCCTGGCGCTGACTATCCTCGAATCTAAAGGGCTCGAGTTTGATGACGTCATCCTGGTGAGTCTGTCATCTCTACTGTCTTGGCTGGGCTGATGTGAGCTTTGCAGTGGAACTTCTTGACTGACAGCAAGGCAGAGAAAGAGTGGCGAGTAGTCTTGTCCTGTCTGATCGATTCTGATCCGAGGGAGCAACAAGTCTTGGAAGCGAAGCGGAAGGCAGAGGAGAACAAGAGAGTCGCTGGGATGCTCAGACCCCTAGAGTTTGACGAGAAAGCTCACCTCATCCTGTGCGAGGAGTTGAAACATCTCTACACGGCGATGACTCGAGCAAGAGTGCGGGTAATCATGTACGAAGAAGACGAAGCGAAACGAGCTCCCATGTACTATTTCCTGCAGCGGAAGGAGCTCTGTGAGATCATCTCGATGCTCAGCCAGACCTTCAGTTGCGACTCATTTGCAAGGAAAACAAGTCGAGAAGAATGGAGGCAGCAGGGTGAGAACCTTCGCAACGTGAGACTGTACAAGTTAGCGTCCAAGTGCTTCGAGAAGTCGGGGGATGAGCAGCTGATGCTTCAATCGCAAGCAGAGCACCTGCTGTCCACTGTAGCCGCCAAGAGCAGCGCGGACGAGAAGAAAAGAGCGCTGATGGAAGCCGGCTATCTCTGCTTGAAGATCGGGGGAAACTTCCTCCTGAGAGCAGCCAGGAGCTTCGCTGAAGCCGGAGAGTTCGAGACAGCTGGAGATGTTTACGAACTCTGCGCTCTTCAGATGCCCAAGAAGGAGGCGCTGAGAAGGCGGTGTGTAGCCCTCTACCGCAAGGCAGGGAAGGTGGACAAAGCAGCGGATATGATGATCAAGCATGGTGACGCCAGGAACGCGCTGACGCTTCTTCTACGCGAGAAGCGGTACGAGAAGGCGATCAAGCTACACGAGGAACACTCGCTGCCAGGCATGCCCGACGCTCTCTCCAAGGATTCCTTTCTCCGATTGCGCGCCAACCACCTCGCGCTGTCAGCCAAGAATGTCGCCTTGAACGAGGAGCAGCGGGACCGCTCGTACCAGGCGTTCTTGAAGACGGCAGCCAAGATGACGGAGAACCTCGAAGAAGCTGTTCTGATCGAGAACGCGTGTTATGCGGAGCTCGCGGATCGCCTCGACTCAAGGGAGAAGTTCAGAGAGGCCGCCATGGTCTACACACAGGCAGGCGATCTCGATCGAGCTCTGCTCTCTATCTCAAAGTGTGACAGCTCCACGTTGTCTGAGATGCAAGTCAAGGCAGATTTACAACTGCTCAAAGCTCTAGAGTCCGAGGACCGATCGTCAAAGTGCAAACATCTTTCTGCGGCTCTCAAGACGTTTTCTGACATGTTGGAATTCTCGAAGAAGAAGAAGCAGGAGGAAGATATTGAGTTTGTAAAGCTTCGAATCATCTTCACAAAGATTCAGCTTCTCGAGAATGGTCAGATGTGCAAGATCAGCAATGAATGGCTTGCAGACGCAACTCTAAGATGTTTCTGGGACTTGACGACAACCAAGCTCGAGCTGCAAACATGCACAGAGAAGTTTCTGGATGACAAGAAGAGGAGCGGCACTCTCTTGAGAAAGGTGTATCAGATCTTCATTGACGTTGCGCACTTGTCGAATGAGCTCAGCAGCAAACAAGACAGGAAACTCCTCAACGTCCAGCACAAGCATCTTGAGCAACTCTTTGGAATGCAGCGGAGTGTTAATGATCTGACTGCATCGAAAGTCCAGCAGCGGCTGATCAGAAGAAGCCTCCTCGTGAGCGAGGAGATTTGCTTGTTCCCGATCGATTCCTACACCGACGTGCTCAACCCCGACGTCTTGTACAAGTCCATAAAGACGCACCTGCTCAAGGCTGCTCGCGACGTCCTCGAGCCCTTGACTGACTTGGCGTCGAGGTATCAGTCATCGGAAAGCTTCAAGGCCCTCAAGGCCTCGGGCGTCTGCTTGTGGCTGTCGAGCCTCTTGTGCTCGCAAGTTCTGTCGTCGCAAGGGGACAGGAGGAGAGCAGCGGGCGAGAGGTTGCGCAGGAGCATGAAGACCTATGAAGGCCGGCTAGTGCAATGGCACCTCGGCCTCAACCTCTTCTCTCCCGTGCATACTCTTCGACGGCTGCTGCCCACCTTCATCTCAGCTCCTGAGTACATGCGAATGAAAACAACCATCGAGCTGTTCTTGAACGACATGATGCAGGATCACCTCAAGGGCGTCAGAGCTGGTGCGATCAGCAGCCTCAACGATGTCAAACACCAGCTCTCTCGTTGTGTCTTGTTGCTTGATAGTCTGGAGATCAAGTTGGCTTCGACTCCCTTGGCAGCACTGCAGAAAGACATGTGCTTGCTTGACTGGACGATCTCAAAACAGAGAAGAAACGCGACGCTCCTCACTCAGTGCCAAGTGTTGAGGGCGCTGAGCTCTTGTACTGCAGCCCAACTCCCGATACAAACATGGCAGATCCTTGCCGACACGCTTGCTCTCTTCTGCTTTGCTGTGAACCTCGATGTTCTGCGAGGAGAACAAAAGGACGACACCTGCAATGAAGTCCGTCAGAGGTCTGTGCTGCTTCCCCTGCTATACAGGGTGCCATACAAGGACATGAGGGTTGAAAACTTGCAGCATGAGGCGAGCAGGCAGTTGATGAAGGAGACGCTCGACCTGTCGCTGCAGATCTTGGAACGAGCATGTGAGGCCAGCAAGTTCCCCAACGACTTGATCAAGACATCCATCCTTGACTTCCTCGCAAGCGCCCTGGTCAACATTGCTCACTCTCAGCCTGAGCCAATCAACCTATGGACCAGTGAGATCCATCGCGTCCACCGGGTCATGCAGTCCATGGGCCCAGCGAGGGGGGGAGGCGACATGCCGTCGTTTGAGGTGTTTGACAAGGAGAAGTTTCAACAAGTGCAAAGGTCCATGAGTGTTCAGTTCAAGTTCGCCACGCTGTTGATCACCTCGGCTTCTGTCTGCTCGAGCAAGGCATGGGAACGTCTCAGCCCAGCCAGTCAGGATCGGATCGAGGAAGCAGCGAGTGCAAACGCCGGTCCCAAGGAGGAAGACAAGCAGAGGCTGGCGAGTTTTCTGTTAGCCGCCACCCTCAGACTCAGAGATCGGAACGCTTTCTTGACAGCCGTCCAAGAGTTTCGCAGTGCCTCTGCAGCAGCAGAAGCAGCCGCAGCAGCCGCAGCTCAACATACGTGCGATGCACAGGCAGGGTAAGTGACGTCAGTTGTCAAGAGATGATCGTGACATTGATGCAGCATAGACAGTTACACTCAAGACTTGATCTCCATCATCCAAGACTTCTTCCAGGCGTGCGAAGAAACGTTTGTCCTGCTCAGCGAGATCAAGTCGCTTTCTGCAGAGCCGGCGATCCTCCATGAAGCGGACCGACTGTATCGAGACACGTCCTTCTCGTACACGAGGGCCAAGAAGAAACTCAGTGATGCCATACATAATCCTCACCAGGAGGGAAACGCCCTGCAGAACATTGCAGCTGACATCATGGTGGACAGAGAGACCTTCTACTTCGTTCAAGAGCTCGTTCAAGCACATCAACAAAACCTGTTGCAGAATATGGATCAAGGAGTGTTCATGTCGCAGAGGCTGTCAGAGCAACACGAGCAGCAGATGCTGGTGAGATCTTTTCTCTCTCCTTCTCTTCTCTCTCCTTGTCTGCTCCCTCCTTCTCCCTGACGTCGTTCGGCCCTGCCTGATCTCCTGTCTTTCAGTTCCCTCCGCAGCCCACGATGATGGGATCGCTTTCGGGCCCTACGCTTGCACCATCAGCCGTGTATCCTCCTCCTCAGCATTTCCAGCAGCAGGCCGACCTGATGAGGCCTTCTGAAGCCTTCATTCTACCAAACCCCTCACAGTTTCAAGGCTCGTCGTCAGGCATGATTGGCTCCTCTCCTCTCGTCGTGCAGGAGCAGTTCTTCTCATCTCATGGATTCGCAGCTGCCTCTTCCTTCCTCCCTCCTGGTGACTTCGACCAGTTGGAGAACATGCCGGACAGCGAGCTGATGCCGTTGGGGCCAGACAGTGAGCAGACAAGAACGCGGAGGTATCAGAGGCATGGCAGGTTTGGATATCGCGGAAGCAGAGGAGGCTGGTCTGAGAACCCGCGAGGGCTGAGGAGGCAACAGCCACCCAACTTGCCGCCAGGGCAGAACCGACAAGCTGCCGCGCAGGGTGCCGGGCAGAGACCGGAAGCTAATGGGCACCCTCGAGACTCTTACATGGGGAAGAAGAAGAGATTTTATTCCAACAGACCACAGCAGCAGCAGCAGCAGCGACAGCAGCAGCAGCAGCAGCAGCAGCAGCAGCGACAGCAGCAGCAGCAGCAGCAGCAGCAGCAGCAGCAGCGACAGCAGCAGCAGCAGCAGCGACAGCAGCAGCAGCAGCAGCGACAGCAGCAGCAGCAGCAGCGACAGCAGCAGCAGCAGCAGCAGCAGAAGCGACAGCAGCAGCAGCAGCAGCAGCAGCAGCAGCAGCAGCAGCAGCAGCAGCAGCAGCAGCAGCCACAACAACAGCAGCATAAACAGCAGGCACAGCAGCCACAGCAGCCACAGCAGCCACAGCATAAACAGCAGGCACAGCATAAACAGCAGGCACACTGGCAACAGCAGCAGCAGCATAAACAGCAGCAGCAGCAGCATAAACAGCAGCATCAAGCACAAACACAAGCAAAGGGAACACAAGCACATCAACCTTCCGAAGCTTCTTGACTCTCATAGTCCTCACGGACTCTTCATCATCGTGTCCTAGCTAATGAAGAATATAAAATTTCTATTCATCTCTCGGAGTCTCTTCAGCTTTTCTCTTTGCTTCTCTCGGAGTCACCGTCACAGGGCTCAGAAGTCCGGCTATCGTCGAGAGAGGCTCGGCATAACCGACGTGAACCGCGCGGTCGGTTCAACTTGCCAGTTATCATGACAGTGCGGCAGCCGGGCCCGGAGTTCCGACGTGACTCCGCGGCCGGGCCCGTCCGACCGGGGCTGGGGCATCCTGAGAGAGTGTCGGACGGCTGTTTCATCTCGCCGCGTTTGGCCAGTGCGACAGGGTCAAGCCTCCTCGACTCACCTGATTGTCCTCCGGCGTACTGATTTTTAACTTAACTTCGGAGGTGCCGCGCCCAGTGCCATGACTCGGGACGATTTCGAAGTCACTGAGCGGCCGGCAGTCACTGCAGTGAAGAGTCCCAGTACTTGAAAAGCCCGGGCCCGGCCCGGCCGCCGCCGAGCCCGGCCTCCCCGGCCGCGCACCGTCTTGTGAGAGCCGGGCGGCCGGGACTCGTGACTCCGGGACTGGCAGCCACTGAGATAAAATACTTCTTAATCACCTCTTTTGTACCAGCGCCACCTGGCAGATGGAATCTCCGGTAATGCATTAAAACTATTTACTATTACAATACTTATTGAAGATACAAATTTTTAAATAGTTTTACAGCCAGGGAAGGTACCTGGGTGGGGTAGGTCACTCTCAGGGGTAAGGGTGGTCCCTTCTGTGTACGTACGGGTATGAGACGTAAGCTTCAACACTCCTTGTGGGGGTCATGTCAGCGTGGACAGGCAGGGTCATCGTTGGGCGATTTGCTATCAAATGAAGGGTGGGGTGATTGAACTGGGGGTAGGGTACTCCAACCATATATTTTCCATAGGGAAGCAGATGGACAGGAACAGAGGGTAGGGGTACACAAGGTGGGGTAGTGCTGCATACAAAGAAGGGACTACCTGAGGAGGGTTTAGAGGTGGAGTGACTAGAGGGTAGGGGTGGTCATGAGGAAGGGTGTAAGAAGATGGAGATTGGAACATAAAAATCAAGGGTGGGTAGTCAAATACCCGTACTTTATCGAGAGAACATTGGTCATATGTACCGGTATAAATTAGTTTGAGGTGGTAGGGGTCATAGATCAAGTGTGTCATGGATAAAACAAACAGAGTCCAACCTGTACCCTACTTGTTTTTGAAGCTGGCACTATTGGTGGATTGATTTCAGCAAAAATTCAATAAATGGTTATGTGAATTTAAAATGATAAAGAGCATGACTCGAGTTTTGGAACATTAGTCTAAAATATTCTGGCCATCTTTGGAAGGAACGGTGGCCTCGATTTCTCGTTATTTGAGGTCATGCATTAGAGGCCGAGAACATAGAACATGCACGAGTAGCGAGGAGTGAACATCAACATAACAATGAGCGATGAACGATGTAGACAAAGGCATAGACGATGCAGAAGCAAAAGATAGAGCAGACGATGTTCATGTATCAAAGATGAAATTACGCGGGAAGCGATCATAGGTCGAAATAAGCAGTCAGATTCTGCTCAATTTTGTGAGCATGACAAACTTTTTGGGATGGTAGTGAAGATGAGCACTCGAGAGTGTGGTTCCAGAAGCCTTTGATAACGTTGGATTCAATATGATGGATTGGAGCAGGAAAAGCGAGAAGTAGACAGAGCATAAGGGAAGGTTAATTGGAAGAAAGGGTTGCAATAGGAGGAAACAACATGCAATGGAGAAAATGAGTTCGACGTCAATCAAAGCAACTGTATATAAGCTATTCCAAACAATGGCTGAGACTCTTGTCTTTGATTCATTGTTTGGATGTTTTTTTTGTGTTGTAAGCCCGTTAGTTTTGTTGTCTATCGTGCACGACAAAGGAGTATTTTCATCATGAAGCCTCTGGCTGTAAATAATTTGTCTTGTTCTACATCTCACACAAGTTTGGTCTGTGATATGATATAATGTGAAGTCCGAAAACGATTAGTGGTTTCACAGAAAGAAATTGTTGGTTGTTGTGGATGATGGCCAATAGAGGGGAATGACTCTGTCTTTGCTCAGTTGGCGAATAGGAACCAGTAGTTGAACAGCTCAGATTGAAGATGATTCGCAAATGTGTTTTGGTGGCTGTTGTCGGGATTTTGGGATGCAACTCGGTGTCGGCCTTCAGTCCTTGTACTCCGATGAAGTTGGCTGGCAATTCCGTCCCCAAGGTAACTAGCTGCGTTAAGCTTGCTCCCCAATTGACATGAAGTTATCCAGATCGCTCGGTGTGCTAGGCCCTCTTCCTTGACGTTGAAGGCGAAAGAGAACTCTAAGATGGAAAAGTTTGTCCAGAGCTCGAAGACCCTTGCTCTCAGTTTGGCTCTCGCGTTCGGAGTGGCTTGTCCTCGCAAGTCGAATGCTCAGTATGCAATCAGTGCAGATGGAACCTTCTATGAGCAGGTTGCTACCAAGGAATCCCCTGACTTTATTCGCGGTGGATTCTCCGCTGCAGCTGCTATAACAACCTTCGGATCCATCACTGCTTATGTGCTAAAGAAGGAGAAGCAGGAACTTGATGAGTATGCGGAGCAGTACGAGCAGGAATTGGGCAGGTTGGAGAATTTCAAGCAGGAGTTTCTTGATGGTGTTCCCTCGGACAACTCGCTCATGGCTTCATTGAACAAGGCGATCAGAGGAGAGACCAACAAAGAAGAAGAAGAGGACGAGTTTGAGAAGAACGTTAGGCTGTTCATGGAGGAGGAGCAGAAGAAGGAGGAAGATAAGAAGAACAATGGTGCAGGATATGCCAAGCAGGGTGGGGCGACTCTGCTTGAGAGACCTTCCGATCCCAATGGCAACGAGAGCGAGGAGTGGATGAAGGACGTTGTGTTTGAGGACAAACCCGCTGCGATCGATGAGGAACAATTGAAGGCTCTACAGCGCATGTTTGGGGGAAGCGATAGCAGCAAGTGAAATGTTTGCACGTTGGTTCCATGCTGATGTATAAATAGTAAATAGATTTAGTTCCTTGCTTGCTTTTAATTGTCGAATAAATACAAACGCTTTGACTCGTCGGTCGAACGTGGGAATGAGGTTGAGGTATTTACAACTTGAAGACTCGCGGACTACGATCTAAGATGTGATGAAGCCAGTGTGAGCCTGATTCAGCTCAGAAGCCAAAGTCTTTATGTGCCTATCGATCTGTCGGCAACAGGTCTCAGTGAGATACGTAACAGATGCAAGAATCACTATGTCGAATACCTCTGAGCTGTCCATGAGCAGCTTCTGTCCTAACTCTTTGTTTTGCATGCGCCAATCTGATCACAGAGCATCACAGACCTCCTGCATTGAACTTCCCGACCATATTTCAAGCTCAACCTACCGTCAGAGTATCGTCGTCTTCGGCTGTTTCCGAGTTCAGAATGAGCTATCCCATGAATCGAGTCAGTACAAGCACATAAGGTGATAATTGCATCTCCATTTGATGGTAAAACACGTCCCATAAGAACTGGACGAACCTGTGGCCTGCTTCTTCTTTTGCTCGTTTCGGACTTGCATGTTCTTGAGTTCATCGTTCAGAAGACCTTTCTTGGCTTCTTCACTCAGCTCTGTTCCAAGAAATCGTTATTGAAACTTGATGAGGCATTGAGTATCACCTAATGGGGCGACTTCTGTCTCAGGCGGTGCCTGTTTCTCTTGCCATTGCTGAATTTTATCCAACCTTTTCTGGACGGTTTCTCTTTCAAACTTGAGCTCCACCATCTGCCGTCATGCATTTGTCATTCGATAGAACTGATGAAGATCATATATTGCCTGGGAAAGAAATGCTTTCTTCTTCGCCTCCGTATCCGTCTTCTTGGATTTGCTTTCTGGGAGGCTGTGCATTTCGTTGTTGAGATCCTTAATCCTCTTGTCATAATCTATCTTTTGCAAGATCAGTCTGCTCGAACATCAGTGAATATGAAAGTTCGAACAAGACTATGACCGGTCAATCTCCTTTCCAACGTCACCATGGCAAACCGGTACTACTTCATCCTTCTTGAAAGTTAGCTCTATGGGGATACTCTCGTTCTTCTTGCTCCTTTGTTTCTTGTTTTTGCTTCTTGACTTTACACCCTTTTGCTTCATTTCACTCTCCGTGATGAAATCACGTGAATTTGCTGATATTGTAGTAGTCTTTGATATGTCTGAGTCAGATTTGATACGTTCGTCCCCCTCGTGCGGCAAGTGAGGCCAAGTCGATGCTTGTTCGAATCCTGGTTGGAACATGTTTCCCAGCGGCTCTCCCTGCAATCTCCATCCCTCAGGTATTTGGGAGATAGAGACAATCTCCTTCCAAAGATCAGATAGGAACCAAGAGCTCTGACGTTCATTGCCAACGGATTCGTCGGAATCGATCCTACATGCCGAGTGATTCTGCAGACGATCGGAATGTTGTGGGATCCAGGCATCTCTTCGATGAGCAAGGAGCGATGTGTCGTATGAGTACGCACCACTGCCCACGTGCTTGGCTACTCTTGTCCTATGTACTCCCGCCTCATCCTCTTCCTCTTCCTTCGCTTTCCTTTCGTCGCACCAACACGCGCCTCCCTGCATGGATTCGAGTCAACTACTGGAGGTTGTAAACCAGGATGACCCCTACCCGCAATCCTGGCATGCCGTTGACTACCCTACCCTGCTACATTCCAGCAACATGACCCCGGGGATCAGGGTTCAACGGTCCTCGTGAGCTTCTACTACCCCCCAGTAGGACTCCCAGGGGGTCAGTGCTGCTGGATCACTCAGATCACTTCAATCGGATAACAGAGTGACGCTGTAACTTTGAATTCTTGTCTCAGTATTTCAAATTTAGCCAAGATCCAGGTATCACTAAATTGAAATGCTTGTTATAGGACTCTGGTCAGGGTGGTACAGAAACGGATTTTTTCAACTGGAGGGGTCACTGGCCCCTACGTAAATGGGGACCAGACTGGGTGGGGTGGACAAACGATTCAGTCATGTAGGGGGTCGCTTCCACTGATATGGGGTACTCAAAAAAAAACCTGGAACAAAAGTAAAAAAGCCCTAGAAGTTGACGAGCAAGGGGTCCTTCCTCCAATGGAACGCTGGGGTTTGGAGGGGTACAGGTCGTGTTAAGGAGGGTTGCCGCGACTCTGGGGAACAGCAGCATTCTTGGCAAGTTGTACCCCCTTCAAACAGGTCGAAAGTACCGGTGTGTTTGCAAGACAAGCCCTTCGGTCCACAAAGAGCCAGAGAGCCGTTACGCAGTTCCACCCAGGACTAGGGTGGGGTACTTCATTCTAGAAGGAGGGGGTATAGGAGGAGGAGCTCTAGAGGGGGTGCTACCGGTCAAAATGGGGGTATTCGTTTACATAGGGGTACAGAAGGGAGACAAGAGGGGTAGTGGAGGAGTAAATCGGGGGTAGTACAAGAATGCAAAATGAGACTACTCGTATCCTGCGCTACATGGGAGGAGGGGCAGAAGGAGAGCAGAAAGAAATGCCGAAAGAGGGTGTACTAGAAGAGGAGAAATGCCTTGGAAAGCGACGGATGAAATGAGAGGAGAGCGAGAACAACAGTAGAAGGGCACTGAACCTGGAGGAACCAGGTTCGACAGCAGTGGTCAAAGAGAGGTTAAAGGCGGAGAGGTCAAATGGAGCAAGATGAGAGATAGAGAGCTGGTAACGATTCAAGTAGATACGGGTCAAAGTGGGTGTGGAGGAAAGAGCCAAGACGGCAGTTGTAAAATTTACAATAAAGGAGCATCCAACAACGGGGGGAGGTCAGGGGAGGTCAAAGTGAAGTACCTGAGGTTATGGGCGATCCCTTAACAAGGATGACTAGAAAGGACAAAAAGACGCATTGCAGAAAATGCTCAGAGCCGGTCTCGCCTGCACAACAGTGAGCAGGCAAGAGAATAACAGGACAGAGGACAAGTGACATGAGAACAAGGTGTGTTGTTCACAAGACGACAACCAAGCCAGAGAAGTCAAGTGAAGATTGAAAAACTTGTCCTGTAATTCTTGAAGCTGCACAGAGAAATCATGATGGGGTTCTGGTACTGGATCATTAGTATCATGCGGAATCTGGCAGTGAGGCTGGCGGCTGCTCTGTATGCACTCACATGGAAGCTTGATCATGATGTAAACGAAGTTTTCGAGGACACTGACACGGAGGACGAAAAGTCACCATTGAAGATCAAAGTATACATGTCTCCCAGAAGATCAAAAAGCACCATCACTGTCAAGGTGGAGCATAGCAATGTCTTGAGAAGAACTTCTCCTAAACCCGTATGTTCTGCACCTGCTGTGCCCAAAAGGTTTTCCGACCCTGAATTGATCAAATGCAGCCCCAAGAATTCGAGTGGGAGCAGGTTTTATGCGAGTGTTGTCAGGCAGGAACAGGAGCTGATGCTGTCTCGAACATCTTCTGTGAGTGAGTCTCCCAACGCGTCCATATGCTCTCGGTTGGACGAAAGTTTCTCCAGATGCACTTCAGTCGCTACCTCGTTTCCTTCATCCGAGTCCTCTCCCTCCAGGGAAAGCACAGTCGAATCTCCCGTCCTATCTATTCGCAGTGCTGCGCATACTTCTATCGCTCGCACATCTTCTGCTCCTGACCTCACGGAAATGAAGTTTTTGAGCGCCTCTTCTCCTCCCAGGATTGGGTCAGCTAAGAACACCTACTCTACATCATGTGGCTCGAAGTTCTATGCCCATGTGCTCAGCACAAGAAGATGAATCCTCTCTGTGCTGTTTCTCCATTGAGAATGACAAAAAAAACTTGAACTGAAGGGTCTTAGTCAAACGTTTGCACGATAAGACCCTTGCAGACAAGATCTGCTGTGTTTGTGTAATGAAAGGTTTTGTTTCCCATGACTTGTCTGCATCTCTCCCCTTCCCTTTCCTTCCCTGTCTGAATCATTTTCTACTCAGTCCGGTGAGAGGTAGAGAGGCCCTGATGAGCGGTAACATGAATCGGCCGGATGTGCACAGCCAAAATCCTTCTTAGAAAAAAGTTCTCACCAAGATCTTAAGTGACAAACGATATTTGTTGATGCAAACGATGTTTCTCGATGTTCTCCCCGCTAATTTTCTTCCCCTCTGCTACTTCTCTTTCTTCTTTGGAGAGGTATTCGTTGCCACGTGCATTGAAAACGAAAAGAGGCATTGAGTGCACGAGCAAGCAATTGTTGTGTCTACAGCCCTAGCAGATGCAAGACTAGGGTTGGAGAAAGCTTCTGGTCGTACTGGCAGACGGGGAGTGAGCAGTTTATTACACGTCTCCTGTCAGTTCTGACCAGAGTCTTGCTGCATTCCACCAAGCTTTTGCTTCAGAGTTTGTTGAAACCAAGCTACAGGATCCGCGCTTGCCGGCATCGTAGAATTCCCCTCGTTAACAGCATCCTCGGCTAGAGCTTGGATTGCTTTCCTCAGTTCAATGTTTCTTTTCTTCTCCTGTAGAAACCTCTCCAGCCGATCGTTTTCCGACTGCATTCGCTCAAGCTCTTCTTCTGACGGGACAGGATTCCTGAAATCGAAGACACTGGAGCTCGACACGACATTTTTCTGTTGTGTACTGGAAGACTTGGCTGGAGCTGTGTCCTTTGTAATCGACGCGTCATTGTCTGCCTTCACTGATTTGTCAAGTTTTTGTGTCTCTCCAACGTCAGGAGGGAGTTCCTTTCTCTTAATGCTGGTCAAGTCATCCACCAATTTTTCATCCCCTGTCATGATTTCTCCGCTTCGCTCCTCGTCCGTCTTGAGCCTCGGCAAAAATTCTTGAATGTTCCATCCCCCCCTCATCCTGATCACAGGAAGCATCGATCCTGAACTGATCTGGTGCCTGTGCAGCCAACACGGGCAGCCATGAGATCGGGTGGAGCAAGAAGAGGAAAGGCTGGAAGAAGGGGACGAGACGAGGGATGGCGCAGGAAGAAGACATGATGATGATGACGAACATGATGATGACATTGTGTTGATGACCAGCAGCGCAACCACCATGCTCGCCATCATCCCTCCTTTCGACCTCTGAGCCGCCATTGTAAGCAAGGTTCGTCGTACAAGAATCCTACAACAAAGTTTAGTTAAGACAAAGTAACTAAACCCATGGAGGTGGATCGGATCCGATGATCCGAACGGTCGGACTCCGGCGGCGCGAGCCGCCTCCGAGTGGCGCGGCGCCCGCGCGGCGGCCCGGACTCCCCGAGCCCGGGCCCGGAGCGGGCCCAGTCAGGCCGCCGCTGCAAGGCCGGGCAGCCGGGCGGTCATACGGACGGTCGGGCGGCCGCCGGGCCCTGCCGCGCGGCGGGGCGCGCCGGGCCGCTCAGTAGACGGACACTGACAGGTCACCGGGTTCCATGCCGCTACCACACTGAGGCTGAATTGTCGGAAACGACGTCGGTGAAGGTTCGGTGGACCCGTTGGCTGTTCAACGGTTCAACGGTTCCTCACTAAGCACATTCAGAGCACATTCCGACAGTACTGATGTGAATACGTTTATTTCATACGAAAAGGAGACAGTCGGCAAAACTTGAAAGAACAGAAAATTGATTTTGCAAAGAAAGCTAGACAGAAGAAAACAAGTATACACTGGCAGTCAAGTCGCGGGAAGAGATTTAGAAGCACATGTGAACAAAACATCCTCAGTCGGATCAATGCATGCTGTTAGGGTTCATCATCTGCGCTTGCATGAAGCCATTCCGAACTTGCTGCTCCATGTCCCCAACAGCGGAAGGCCCGTGAGGAACGACCATCGTTGCCCGCCCTTCATGAAGATGTCAGTTTACATGCATGATACACTATCCATATCCCTTCCCCCTTTTCTTCCTCTAACGCGAACAAGGATATCATACAAATGCCAATACAGTAAATAACATGTCATCGAATAACAAGCATTGCGATTCGACAATGACTACCTGAATGTGCGAACTCCTTCAACACATCCAAGTACTGCGTCACAAGCATCATGTGCACCACCTCTCGTGGCTCAAGCCCGCACCTGCCACGCTCCTCAGCTCCTGTGTCACACACCCCGCCCCCTGCCCCATGCCCTCTCGCCCTTCCTCTTCCCCTTGGCTTTCTCTCTCACTTGCCAGCTCCCCCCCCCCCCCTCCCCCCTTCATCTCGACCCGCTCTCCTCTCGTCTACTCACGATTCCTGCATCGACTCGATGCTGTTCTTGAAGCCATCCGTGATCGCCTGCCTCATCATCGCAGTACCCTTGCCTGACAGATGCTTCGCCTCCGCGTCCGCCTCTGCTGCTCGCACTTGCAGGATCTTCTCTGCCTCTGCCTTCTCGATCGCAGCCTCTCGGTTCCTCCTAGCCGCGTTGATCTGGTTCATGGCCTTCATCACCGTGGAGTCTGGCTGCATGTTGGTGATGAGCGCTTGGTGCACTTCGATGCCATACGGCTTCATGGAAGACGCGACTTGCGCCTTCACCGCGTTCGCCATCGACTCCTTGGCCTCGAAAGACTCGTCTAGCGTCATCGTCGGGATCTGAGAGCGGATGCAGTCATCGACGTAGGCTGTGATCTGCATGTGCGGGTTGTGGAGCTTGAAGTAGTACTGGTCGCACTCCAACGGGTTCACCGAGTACTGGATCGCGCACGTCACAGTCACCGTCACGTTGTCCTTGGTCTTGGTGTTGGTGTTGACGTCGATCTGCGTCACCTGGCACAGACCACGCCCGTCACTTCCCCGCCCTCCATCGCCAGAGCACACACAAAGTGCTCTACCCTCGACCAGCAAGCATGCACGCACGCAGCACAAGTTGCAGCAAGGACGTACCTTGATGCTGACTCCGTCGACAGTCTGGATGGGCCACAGGATGATGCTACATCCCGGGTCGAGGATGTGAGAGAACTTGCCGCAGGACTGGACGATACCTCTCTGACTTTGATCTATGCAGGCACAGCACAGGAACGACATTGATCTGCAAAATCTCCAATGAGCGCACAACCAATTTTTCGAACAGTTTGCGAACGGAAAACAAAAAAAGAGATATCTTACGATACTTCTTCTGGGTTTCTTGCTGATTCCTATTGAGTACAGTCATCTACCGTCATCACACATATTATCTCGCTTCCTGCCTCCCTCATTATCCTATCTGATGCCCAGTCAACACCAAAATGTTCTATCCATGGTCGCAACCTTTGATCACTTCCCATTTTGAAGGTACCAAGAATTCTGTTCCGCCTAAATTACCATAGGGTGCTTCGATCCTTAGTGTGGCCTTAGGGAGGTCCTAGTCTCGGTCCCAGTCATACCCCGGCAACAGATGGATGAGGGCCTAAAGCCTCAGTAAAACGGAGATTCCGAGGGGGGTAGGGTTGTAGGATTTCAGTGGGTAGGGTTATGATACTTGGGGGTAGTGGGAGAGACATCGGAGGGGGTACTTGGCAAGGCTGTGTGTCCATTTTCTAGTTTTGGAAGGAGGCTCACAAAAGATTTAAAAGGTGGGCAATGGAGGGGTGGGGTAGAGAAAGAGGAAGCGATAGAACCGGGTCTATTATCGGTCAGATAAAGGGGTCCAATTTCAACTTCTGTACGGGGTCGCAATCTGCGACAGGGTGGGTCTTGTTTTGAAATTTCTTCTATTGAATGGGGTGGGTCCATTTGCGATGGGGCGTAAGGGGTAGTCAGGCGCTAAAGTATGAGGTGGGTTGAAATAAGGGAAGGTTTCGGAGTGAGGCCTATTCGGATAGGGTATACAATGCTGAAATCGGAGGTGGGGTATTGGAATGAGGGGTGGGTTGTGCTCAAATTTATGGACTTTTTCCGAGCGGGTAGGGTGGTGGTTACAATTTCAGATACGAGGGGTGGTTCTGGAGGGGGTAGTGAGGAAATTTTTGAGGGATGTAGAAAAATGCTCAAGGAGAGGGAGAGGAATGCGTTTGATAGAGGCGAGATGAGTGTTTGATGTTGATGGAACAGAGTACGCTCCAACACTGAATGATTGATAGAACGAAAAAGCGAAAATTGGCCCGAAAAAACCTAGGAACTTCTGTGAACTGTCGATCCCTACTATGCTTAATAATTGCGCTTGGACCTGCCTCATTAATGAAATGTCAATTGAGCAATGGAAGCTTCTTTCAAAGCATGATGATAAAAAAACAGCTTGATATTTGATATAGAAAACTCACACGAGATTTTGCAGATCAATGTCGTTCCTGTGCTGTGCCTGCATAGATCAAAGTGAGAGAGGTATCGTCCAGTCCTGCGGCAAGTTCTCTCACATCCTCGACCCGGGATGTAGCATCATCCTGTGGCCCATCCAGACTGTCGACGGAGTCAGCATCAAGGTATGTCCTTGCTGCAACTTGTGCTGCGTGCGTGCATGCTTGCTGGTCGAGGGTAGAGCACTTTGTGCTCTGGCGATGGAGGGCGGGGAAGTGACGGGCGTGGTCCGTGCCAGGTGACGCAGATCGACGTCAACACCAACACCAAGACCAAGGACAACGTGACGGTGACTGTGACGTGCGCGATCCAGTACTCGGTGAACCCGTTGGAGTGCGACCAGTACTACTTCAAGCTCCACAACCCGCACATGCAGATCACAGCCTACGTTGATGACTGCATCCGCTCTCAGATCCCGACGATGACGCTAGACGAGTCTTTCGAGGCCAAGGAGTCGATGGCGAACGCGGTGAAGGCGCAAGTCGCGTCTTCCATGAAGCCGTATGGCATCGAAGTGCACCAAGCGCTCATCACCAACATGCAGCCAGACTCCACGGTGATGCAAGCCATGAATCAGATCAACGCGGCTAGGAGGAACCGAGAGGCTGCGATCGAGAAGGCAGAGGCAGAGAAGATCCTGCAAGTGCGAGCAGCAGAGGCGGACGCGGAGGCGAAGCATCTGTCAGGCAAGGGTACTGCGATGATGAGGCAGGCGATCACGGATGGCTTCAAGAACAGCATCGAGTCGATGAAGGAATCGTGAGTAGACGAGAGGAGAGCGGGTCGAGATGAAGGGGGAGGGGCGGGGGATGTGACACAGGAGCTGAGGAGCGTGGCAGGTGCGGGCTTGAGCCACGAGAGGTGGTGCACATGATGCTTGTGACGCAGTACTTGGATGTGTTGAAGGAGTTCGCACAGTCTGGTATGTATATGATCAAAGCATGCTGTGTGTTATTTTGTTTGAATATTGTTGTATGCTCCATTCCCTTTAGATTGGTTTTTTCTGTTGGATTTAGTGTTAGTTGCCGTGAGTGGAAGCAGGTTCCGAGGTACAGTGATGATAGAAAAAGAATGGTGTCATGTGCTAACCTATTTAGATTTTTGTCTTACTCCGACCTGCATGTTTCTGTTGCGAAAGGTTATGAAGTCTTGACGTGCTGTGTTTCAGGGCGGGCTACGATGGTCGTTCCCCATGGACCTTCGGCTGTTGGCGACATCGAGCAGCAAGTTCGGAATGGCTTCATGCAAGCACAGATGATGAACCCTAACAGCATGCATTAAGCACAAAAATGTCACCGATCGAGTAGAAGCTCATCGATGTCTTGTATGCTCAGCAGTGTGGATTTAAGTTTGCGTTCGGAAATCATGTCGGTTCCGGATACCTATTTTCTGTGAATGATTTGATGAGATTGTAGTCCTTGAAACTTGCTTGTACAGACAGCAAGAAAGTTGTTGTGTTATCCTGATGGTTGTTTCACGATTATTGTAGGCCTCTTAATTTATGACACAGCTCTTAAATATTATCGTAACTTGCACATCTCATTCATACTTCTGACCCGTCTTACATGTTGTCACAACAATGTCTTACATGTTGTCACAACAATGTCTTACATGTTGTCACAACAATGTCTTACATGTTGTCACAACAATGTCTTGTATGTTGTCTCAACAATGTCTTGCATCTACAGTTCTTCAATCATAATTATTTCACTCTTCACACAAGGTTGGTCATTCCACGGGCCTTTTGCACCAGATGCAACGTTTGGTCAGCCGTCAGCACCCTCTTTCCTCTATCGTGTACCTACCCCTCATATTAGAGGTATCTTGACCGGTTCTCGGGTCCCGGCCTCTGATTCAAACACGAAAACCTCTACTTTGGCACTGCAAAAGAGATGTATTTATAGAATAATTTATAATAGGCACAACCTGACTCTTCCCCCAGTATCTGGTACAAATATAAATGGGAAAAGATACATTTTCACTCTCTAACAAGTACTTCTAATCTACAACCGTCCTCCACTCCTCCCCCACTTCCTCCCCGACTCCTCAAAATGGACTCATCAGTCTCCTGCACTCCTGCCCTGCCCACGCGCGAGACCATTTCCCCTCCTCCTCTCCCCCATCATCCTCATCGTCGTACTGTTTTGTCGTGATCTTATGTTCGAAACATTGTTTTCCTGCAATGTCTTTCTTTGTGCTTGCTGTCCTTGCAACTTTTTCGAAGCAGATTTCACTGGTTTTGAGCAAGAGCAAATTTTCTGTATCGAAAGTTGATCTGCATCTTAGTGATTCATGTTGTTTCTAACGTGATACAATCAGTTGAGAACTCCTCTGAAAAATTATGTCACCTTGCATTTCTGGATGTGATCACTAACCGTTTCTTGTCAACAGATCGTAACAACGGACAATCGTCAGCTTTGATATTTCAATCGATTCTCGAACACCTTTCACCTTCATCGATCATCATGAAGCTCGCAAACAGCTCTACTTGTGGTGTCATCTCAACCATTGGATCAGTGGCCATATCTGCTGCTGCAGTGGCAATTGGCGTCCGCGCTTCGCAACGAAGTAGGTGGATTGGAAAACATTTTCATTTCTGACCCTACTTCTTGGTTTGCAGTCAGAGCGAAGGAGATTAAGACAGGATCCTCTAGACCAAAGTCTGGGAAGACTGTTGGACAGTACTACGTGTATTGAGAAGCTGCCATCAATGTCTGCAAGCTACAGACGAGAGAGTTGCTGCTTTGTGTCTATATGTGTACATTTGTTGCGTGTGAGGTCTGAGTACCTGAAGTTTGACTGCATGTCAAGATAAAAGAAAACTCCTACGTGTCATGACATATCATGAAAAAAGAGGAGAACCCCACTGTAATATTCCTGAACGACTTGTTCTTTAATACATGGAAGATGAATCTTTCAAGTGTAGCGATCGGTTCAGTGTATGTGGACGACTTCCTTGGAGGTCAAACCTCGTCAGCAGATTCGAACTCATTGAACATGGTCTCATCGGGATACAGCTGATAACTCGTCAATCATTGCACCACGCTCTCTCTTCTCTCACCTGCTTGGCGTAGTCGAGCGTCTTCTTAGCGAGCACGCGATTGCTGTATTCCTTCCGCTTGACCAACATGATCCGGCAGACGCCCAGCAGAGCCGCCTTGTTCTCACGGTCTAGGAGGAGGACGGAGCTACAGCGTAGCAGGGTCAGGTTGCAACGTCACATCGCTCCCTCCTACCTGTAGAGCTTGTGTGCGAGCTTCAGCTTCCCCTCCAGCTCGTACAGGAGGCCGAGGCTGATGGAGGTTGCGAGGTGCAGCGGGTCGGACAGGTACGCTCTCTTGAGCAGTCGGTAGGCCGCCTTGACGTCGTTCCGATCCATCAGGATCACCTGCGCCAGCTTGCAGAGCGCTGGCGAAGAGCATGGCCGTAGCTGAACCTGCGGTAACCGTCGCAATGTGAGGGAGGAGCCGAGGAGCGGGTGGGGATGGGAGCAAAGGAGTGAGGGGGGAGGAGGCGAGAGAGAACCGCGTGCTTGAGCCATCGCTGTGCAAGTGCGTGCTCCTTCATCTGCAGGAAACCAGTGGAGCAGGAGAAGACGAGGTCGAAGTCATGAGGGTACGAGGCCGCAAGCTGCTGGAGCTGAATTTTCATTTCCTCCTTCTCCTGGTCACCAGCAAAACGAATGAGACGAGACGTCCGCTCGGCTTCGATTCTCTTGGTCCATATGACGCATCCTTTCGCTGCAGCAAACTCTAACGCGCGATCAAACATCACTTTGATAAGCTCCTGCTCCTCCCCGAACAGCTCAAGGTATCTTTCTCTGCACGAGCGAACATCAGCATCTACACAAGCTTCCGCAGTCCCAAGACCTGGGCTTCTCATTCAAAGGATCCATCTCCATCGCTCGTGCAACCGCCTTCACTGCCTCGTCGTGATTCTTGCCGCACTTGAAAAGCAAGTCGGAGTAGAGGAGGAGGAGGTCTGACCCGCGGCTGGTCAGGAACACACATCTACTGGCTCATCTTATCTTCACCTGGAGTCTCACAGGAAAGAAGAGCCTTCTGCACCAACGTGATGGCTCCTATCGTGTCTCCCTGCAGGTGAAGGTTCAGGTTGGAAGGGGACTAGCACGTCAGACGTCTTGCAGCATGTCGAATGCTGACATTCGAAGAGCCATGGCATTGGACGGTTCGCAGCGCAGGACATGTGCCATCGCCTCCGCTCTCATGGGATCGGCCTAGTGCACCCGGTCAGCAGCACACGGCAGCCCCAGGGACTCTCGACCCTCTTGGCTTTGAATCGGACAAGGAAGTCGAGGTAGGCGTAGAAGAACTCTGCCTGCACCTCGCCTGCGCTCCTGGTGACATTGTGGATCTTCTGCAATCCGATGGGTCAACATGGACAAGCGAGGTGGGAGGAGGAGAACCTGGAACAGCAAGGAAGCTCGATCAATATCGCACACTCGAGACAACTGGACAAGAAGCAGCTATCAGTCACTCGCAACCATATTGTCAAGGACCAACCAGTTTCGCGTATCCTATGAGCGCCTCCGTCTGATTCGGATCGACGCTCAAACTTCGGACAAACAGAACCTGCAACATGGCATGCCGACACAGAAAGATGTGAGGGAGTATCGGCAAGAGGGAGAGCAGGCGAAGGCGGGGCAGCAGGATGAAAGGTGGAGGTGGTGGAGGAGGAGGCTGGAACAATACCTCAGACTCTGTGACGTTGATGGACTCCTGGAAGAGAACCGTCGCAAGATTGGTCAGAGCCTCAGTCTGCCGTCACAGTCAGCCCGAACAAGGCAGAGAAAGCTGGGGCAGGCGGACCATGTTGGGCTCGAGGGCGATGGCATTGCGGTAGAGCTCCACGGCTCTCGTGACGTTCTTGATGTCCTCGAGTTTGTACTTCTCGTCTCCGCTGTAGACGTGCTCCTGTCCCTCAACGCCATGGTACATGAGGGCCGTGGCGAAGTAGATGGAGGCTTCGTTCGGGTAGATCTGGAGAGAAGACGTCAGCGCCGAGGGACTCGGAGGGGATCGCGTTCAACCCGTTGAAGATCCTCGTAAATCTTGATGGCTCCCTGGAGATCCTTGCAGCCGGCCTGGAGACAGGTAAGCCTTCCATGGCAGGGATAGCTCTTACATGACGACCTTGAGGAACATGGCGTATGACATCATTATGTCCACCCTCCGCCTCTCCTTCCTGAGGATCCCCTGACTCTCTTGTCACATGTTGCCGTCAACGTCATTCTGCTGTGGTCACCTCGAAAACCTCCCGAGCAGCATCGACGTCGTCCCGTATGCTCCACAAGAACAGAGCATAACTCTCCATCACATCCACGTCCTCGCCATTCGCCTCCAGGTGGTCCATGTACACCTGTAGCAGCAGTCACCGCCGTCCAGCATGGTGGAGGCCCTTACAAGCTCCGCTGCATCGAAGTCATGCTGCAGGACAAGCCTCTCTACTTCTTCTAGCACGTCGTCACAGCTCCGGGCAAGTTGACCAGCCTGAGCTCCAACGTCTTCTCCCCTCTGAGGTCTGGCGCGCGACTCCACCTCTCGAAAGGCTGCATCGAACTCGTCGTCAAGCGCATCGACGCCGACGTCGTCCATCTGCGTCATGACCATGTCCTTGTCCTCTGTCCTTCCTCCCCGCAGCTTCAGGATCGTGGGCAGGGAGCAAGGGAACCCATGGTGATTCACCAAAGCAACTTCGCATCCAAGGAGCTCGCTTCTCGTCGCAAGGAGGAGGAGGACAGTCAGTCCTGCATTCATGATACCGCTGCTCTTCTTCATCGTCCTTCTAGTCCACCTTCCTGCATTCCTTCCTTCCACTCCCTCCCTCCCCTCCCTCCTCGCGTCTCCACCGCCAGTGCTGTACCAGTTTCCGCATTGGACGCATCAGGCAAGTTCGCCTCAGTATGTCACCCATCCATGGCGGGAGAGGATGAGGCAGCGGGGGGGGCAGGCAGCGGGGAGGGGAGGGGAGCAGGGCAGGAGAGTGATGGCACGACAGGGAGAATAGGAGGAAGAGGAGGAGGAGGAGAGAGTGAAAGGGAGAAGGGAGAAGGGATGGATCAACATGGGGGAGAGGAACAAGGGGGGAGGGAGACGACGATGGAAAGCGGCGAGGAGGACGCGAAGGAGCAAGAGCAGGAAGATCTTGAGCCCTTGAGCAACAAGATCAAGACTGAGGTGACGATGCTTGAACTGAGACAAGAGCTGGAGGAGGAGGTCGCATTAATAGCCTTGTTGCCTTCCAGGTTTATGAACCTGACCAGCCTTCGGTCTTAGAGGATTATCCATCGGAGAGATTGGTGCGGCAAGCTGAACGATCCCATCCTGCTCCTCACGTTCTGATGCAGCCCTTCCTTGCCGATCGGCTGCTACAAACAGCGTCGGTGTCGCCAGAGCTCCTCGCCGCCATCGCTGACCAAGGCGCGGAAATCCCACGAGTACTCCGCATGATCACTGACGTGGGTGTCTTGAAGGTCTTGGGCTTCACCAGGTCTTGTATGAGGGATCGCAAGTCATGCAGTACTTGACCCATGACGCATCCAACCCCTCCAGGTGAGGAACTACCATCAACTGCTCTCCTCTCATCGTGCTCGGACTAGGATGTGGGCGCTGGGGCTGTTGGGGGAGGTGCTGGACTCTCTGGTGCTCTGCCCGGTGGAGTCGAAGCGAAGCTCGACGAGGACGGTGCGGATAGACGTGCAGACGTGCGAGGGGAGGGGCGACAACCTGGTGAAGTCCTTCGAGTTCTTCAGCGACGGGGTCGCCATGGACCTGCCCCAGGTCAAGAGATTCCTCGACAGCGGAGCAAGTGAGAATGACCAGCTGGTGTTGGAGCTGGAGGGAAGCAACATGTTCCAAGAGCTGGGGTGCAGGTGGAGCCTCGACTGGCCGTTCCCCTCCATCCGGCCGATCGTCAACCTCTGTCGATCATGTCTGATCCTGACCTGCGACAGTCCCGGGAGGTTCTTGGTTGCGCTCTACCAGGCAGAGCTCAACGATAAAGGCTACCTTCTTGTTCCTATCGTGCAGCTGCAGGACGGTACTCCGGTGCCGGGAGGAGAAGGAGGGGAGTGGATGATCGGCAAGACTGTGAGGGTTCGAGGGGAGGACGGGGAGAGCTGGCGGGAGGGAAGGATCGAAGAGCTATGTCAGGACGGTTTCATGGTGATCTTCGGAGACAGAGATGAGAAGGCTGAGGGGGAGAGGAGAGAACGTGTGAGCTTCTATCAATCAGCATGGCAGCTTGCTACAAAGGAGGAGGAGGAAGAGGGAGGGAGGTCGGAGGACGGCTGGTGGTCGCCTTGCGAATTTTCATGGCGAGTGATCTGGGAGCGACTGTCTGACGCGACCAAGTTCAAAGTACATGACTGGACGCACAGCAGCCTGACGGGAACGTGGCTGATCCTCGACGAGCTGATCCTGGAAAGTTTCCTGAGCGAGACCCAGGAGGCCGGGTCCTCTTCCGACTCTTCGTCGTTGGGCTGGGACGTCACCATCGTCGACGCCGACTACCTTAAGCAGTGCGTGTGCAGTGGCTGGATGACGGAGGAGCACGGGAGTCTCCCGGTGCTGACGTCGCTCAGCTCTCTCCTGCAGGTGCTGTACAAGAGCAGGCAGGTGGACATCATGCTGTTGGGGCAGCGGATCAAGAGAAGAAGCCTGCTTGCTATGGTTGAACATCCCAAGAACTTCTCGATTGACGTTCAAGTGCCGTCCAAGGATGACTCGTCCCACGGCTATCAGCGCGTGTCCATCACCCTCGGGCTGAGCCAGGCAGCCAAGGAAGGGAGCGGGCAGGCGATGACGGGGTTCTTCGTGTACGCGAGCAAGAGGCTGCTCATCCCATTCCTTCAGCTCTCTGTCCAGAAAGATCGGGTTGGTCGAGGCGTCATCGGCCTCATTGAGATGGAACATGTCTTCTCCTTCACAATGACAAAGGTCTGTCACTCCCTGAGGGATCCCTTCTTCCTCCCTCCCTCCCTCCGTACCAACCCCCTCCCTCCTTCCATTTCTCAGACTCTCCCTGACTCTCTCTGCAGTGGGTTCTGGTAGGCAAGTTTGTCGAGCAGAGCATGTTCGAATATCTCCATGACCTCTTCGCGTCCCATCCTGAAAGGTTCGACGGCGTCGAACCCAAGACTCCATCCTCGCGCTCGGGTTTCTTCCGGTACAGGAAGCTGAGGAAGCAGCTGAAGGAGGTGAAGGACGACTCCCGCTCCAAGAACGCTTCTCCCCATCCCGCCACTAGCGACAAGGATGACGCGCTGTCCCCGAAGCGGCAGAGGAGGGTGGTGGAGCCGCCAATGAAGTACAAGTTCGAGGAGGAGCACTTGGAGCAGATTGAGACGAGGAAGAGGAGGCGATCGGACCAGGGGAGGGGAGACAGGTCGGGGAAGAAGGGACCGTTCAGCAGAGGACAGAAGGTGTGGGTAAGAAACTCGTCGGAACTCTGGCCCCTCAACGCGGCCAAGGAGCTGATCAAGACGATCACTGCTGACGTTCTCTCTAGCGGGCGGATCCCCCCGCAGGTAGAGAGGAGAGCAGCTGACGAGGAGGTTGACGAGGTTCAGGTGGGGACTGTTACGTCGGATGTCTTGCGGGGAGCGGTGGAGGTGACTCTGGTGGACTCTGATGACGTCATCAAGTGCAGGTGTCCCCTCGTCCTGTGCTCCTCTACTTCACCCTGCTTCCTTCCTCCTCCTCCTCCTCCTCCTCAACCTTTCCTCTCCTCTCCTCTCCTCTCCTCTCCTCTCCTCTCCTCTCCTCTCCTCTCCTCTCCTCTCCTCTCCTCTCCTCTCCTCTTCTTTTGCTCCTCATCTCCTCCTCATCATGTTCCTGCTCTCCTGCTCTCCTCTTCTCTCCTCCTGCCCTCCTGACCTCCTCCCCTGTGACGCCTGCTGACTTGCTGCAGGCTGAGCAACGTCTCCTCCTACCGGCCTGGTAGTTCTCCTCCTCCTGTCGATTTCTCTGCCCCGCCTTCGAGTCGACCAGCAGCGACGGCGAGCGCGAGCTCGACCCAGAGCAACAGTACGAGCAAGTTGTCGGAGAAGAGGGAGGACATAAGGACGTTTGTCGACAACCTTGCGTGCAACCTCCTTCCTCAGCAGGTGAGAGGACGGAGAGGAAGAGGAGGACGAGGGCAAGGACAAGGACGAACGAGAGACGGAGCAGGAGCAGGAGCAGGAGCAGGAGCAGGAGCAGGAGCAGGAGCAGGAGCAGGAGCAGGAGCAGGAGCAGGAGCAGGAGCAGGAGCAGGAGCAGGAGCAGGAGCAGGAGCAGGAGCAGGAGCAGGAGCAGGAGCAGGGGCAGGAAACGAAGCAGCACAGCAGTGAAATGGAATGGCAGGCAAACTCCCTGGTCGAGATGTTCTGCAACCTCGACCCTTCAGCGGAGGATTTCGTCTCCTTCAAATCCGCCGCAGCTTCTCTTGCTCCTCCTGCGCCCCAACCAGGAGAGGGTGAGGTAGAACTTGCTGCTATCGCTTGCTGACGTCACTCCAGAGGTTGAAGAGTCTGCCACCGCATCGCAAGAGATCGGTGAGAATCGCTCAGGAAGCTCTCCTCGTCCTCCTCGTCCTCCTCCCCGTTGTCTTGACGAGTGTGTTTTTTTTGTTTTTTGTTCTTTTTGTTTTTTTGTTTTGGTTTTTTTTTATTTTATTTTTGTTTTTGAACTTTTTTTTCTTTAAAAAGAGGAGAGGGTTTTTTTGAGGTCTGGGGGGCCCCACCAAGAAGGGGGAGGGGGAAAATGTGCCTTTTAAAGCATATGTCCCGCCCCTCGAAGGGGTAAAAGATTCCCCCCCCCCAATGAAAAAACAGGGGTGAAATTTGGAAGAGAGCTTTTTCTACGTTCCCTTGTCTTCAGCCTAGCCCTCCCAACCAGCTTGCTTATCTTGTAGTTTTGTCCGTGTGAATTTTCTCTTACCTGCAGGTAAAACAAAAGGATACATCACAAAAAAAGGGGGGGGAGGCCAGAAAAGGACTTTGAGAAAGGAGGTTAAGGAAAGGGGGAGGGCAAAGGAAATTCTCCGGGGGGGTCCCCTTCCCCCCCCCCCCCCCCCCCCTCCCCCTCCTCCTCCCTCCCGCCTCCTCCTCCCTCCCGCCTCCTCCTCCCTCCCCGCCTCCTCCTCCCTCCCGCCTCTTGATCGTTCCTCGCAGAGTTTGCAAGAGAAACTGAACTCAAGGACAAGATCTCTGCTGTAAGCTCCCACCACCCCACCCCCTCCCATCCCCTCCCATCCTCTAGTTCCTCCTGCCTCTATTCACACCTTCCCTCCCCCTCCCTTCATCCTAGCCTAACGCTCCAATCCTTCAGCTCGGAAAGCTGCACAGGAGCGTCGTGCTGGGTATCGACTCCAGCTCACCCCAAGCTGGACTGACGAGATTTGACAGGCTGGGAAAAAGATTTGGATCAGCTCCAGATGGTTCAGAAGCATCAGAAGATCCTGACTGGAATGCTGTGAGCTCCCTGGCTCCTCCTCCTCCTCCTCCTCCTCCTCCTCCTCCTCCTCTCTATCCTTCCCTTTCTCGTGCTTTTCCCACCCTGCCTTTTTCTTACCTCTTGCTTCTTCGACCCTGCTTCCCCCTCTTTTCTTCTTTCATCCTCCACCGTCTACTACTCAATGTTTCTCCCTCCCTCACGCGCGTCTTCAGCTGCGAGATGTACGCAAGGAACTCTCAAGTTCTCAACGAGCAGGAGGAGGTCCCTGCTGCTGCTGGGCAGCTCGAGAGCAGCTCGAGCAAGACAGGGCAGTAGGAGGAGAGGGGAGGGAGCAGGACTGTAAATTATCATAAGGGAGGAAAAGGATTATGTCATCAGAAGCACTTGTTCTGTCAAATCTCACACTCATCAACTCCTCCTCCTCTACGTCTGCATGCTCTTCCGGATGGTGTCCTCCAGGTGGGGATAGTTGGTCAGCACCAGCTGGAGGAGAAGGTGAGGTCGAGCAGGAGAGCGAGAGGGAGGAAGAGGGCGAGAGGGAGGACAACTATGGAGGGCAAAGAGGACGAAGGCGAGGAAGGGGACGGAGGGCAAGTTGGAGGAGGAGGTGGAGGAGGAGGAGGAGGAGGAGGAGGAGGACAGAGAGCAAGGAGGAGGGGTGGAGGGGAAGGAGGAAACAGAAGAGCAGTTGGCGGACCTTGAGCTGCTTGTATGCGTCTTGCAGGTTGTCGTTGGTGA